GTCTATGGTCTTGTCTAGTGCTGATTGCAATTGTCTGTAGAATTCCTCTTTCTTCTCTTCATCTGCATTATTTGTAGGTGCATAGCGTAGCATTGAATGATTGTGACTTAGCTTCCTTTTGAGTTGAATCTTGCTGTTATGATCCTGGAGGAGGAGAGTGATTCCTACTGCATGAGAGCCTTCGATGCTCTTGAGGACATCATGATAGCAACTCGAAAACTCAGTGTGCTCGTTCGTGATTGTCGTCTGGGTTACCAGGGTGGATTATTGACTCCCAGTTGGCAGAGTCCACTTCCATTCAACCTGCCTTCGCAGATTTCTAGCCTAGCACTTCTATGCTATACCTCCTCATCTCTCTTGCAATCTGGGTAGCCTTGCTAGGTTCAAACATCGTGTGTCCCCATGTTTACTTTCGCTTTCATTGAGAGAAGGGTAGACACATCGACCAATTCGCTTCCCGAAGGTTTCACCAACTGGCGTCATTTTGTCTTCGCGATTCCAGCGAGGAATAAGTTTGTTTTTATTATGTATATTTTGTTTGTGCTTTGAAGTTTCTTGAGCGATTGGACTGGTTTTCCGGGGTAATGTTGCTTACCCTATGCCCGACCTTCCCTCTTTATCCGGGGTTAGGACCGGCTAGTAACTAGTTAACCAGGTGAGGTTTATAGACTGTATGCTGCAAGTCAACCAGATTGTGATCAATCCCCATGGATTAAAAGGTACCTAGGTTTACGTCCATTAGCACATCTATAACGAAATTAAACAGAAACGGTAACAGCAGGCAACCCTGGCGGACACCACTAGTTGTCGTCATTTCAGATGACAGCTATCCATAAGCCCTTACACGGCTGCGTAAATTCAAGAAGAGAGCTGTGACAAGTATCATATACTGGCTCGGTACTCTCTTGACAACCAGTCACTGCCACATCTCACGGTCGACAGAGTCAAATGCCGCCACCAGATAGAAAAAGCGAATGTCGGCTGCCGGTAAGCATATCTGAATTACAGAACCTGTCGCAGAGTGAAACTATGATCGATGCACTCTCTATCAGGTCTGTATACCTGCCTGATTTTCTCGAGCTCCAGGTAGACGTCGGAGAACTATATTATTTGTTTGTCTTTTAGGTTGCTGGTGGAACATAGGGCGTCGGGTAACTATGGATCCTGGGATCTCGGATACGACATTGGTCAAACTGATTCCCCGACGGTTGTCACAGAAAAACTTCATTCCATATTTTGGTTTTTGTGTTTGCATATGAATGTAAAACTAAATAGTTTACGGCAAATTTATTTTGTTTTGGATTCACTAGGAAATACAAATATCATTGATCCGATGCTCAAATTTCTTCAAGATTTCTCATCTTCTTTATGGAGTGGAATGATCAGTGAAGTAGATCAGTCTGACGGAATTACCTCTGATCCCTATACACTCCTACATACATTCGATACTCTAATCAGCACTTTCCAAACTCCATCCTTGAGAACTTTCTATGACAAACCAGCAGATCCTCCTGCTTTGTATTCTTCAAAACGGGTTTCTCAACTCCAAAGATAGTTGCAAGACCGATATCTCATGCAGGTTCAGGCCGGATGCTGGGCAACTAAAGCGTTGTTGTGGGCCAGTTGAACTGTGCTTCAAAGTCTTCCGTTCAACACTCTAGCTGTCTGCTCTGAGAGGTAATCATCATCCCATCCTCCTTAGTGGTGGTTTCATCAACCATTGTTTTCTTCTTGCGAGATCTTTAATAAGCCTAAATAGTACTGTTACCTAACGGTGATGCCTTCTCTATCTCTCCCACCACTGCTTGCAATCATTGCGAAGACTGTTGGTCACCGTGGTCACAGCCAGCTGAAATCGGTCTTCTTGTATCAGTCATTTCAGATTACATTTCAGAAATCCATTGACGTCAGCTAGCCTTTGGATGTAGGATGCCAACTGTCTTTACCACTGCTCCTATATGACTTAATATCAGGCCAGGTTTCCTCAGGATGAGGATTGCTGTCATGTTCAGATAAATGCTCAGCCATCTCTTCCCTAAATACTAAACTGATACTCTGACATTCTAATACAGCACTCATAGGGTTCATTGCCAACCGTTTCCTGTAACCCGTAAGGTGCAGACCTACAAGTGTCCATGCTAGTGCGTGATTGGAGTCCAAAACGGTACGTTAGAAAGATCGGTTACCCTTCACCGATGGATCCTCTCCAATGAGGACTTATAGCAATGTGTCCAAATTTGGGTTGATTTCGGCAGGCGCCGTGTGAGCCAGTGTCTCTCCATATGCTCAAAGTTAGTGCTGATCAGAAACAAATGATTGTTAGAACAGAATTACACCAGACGACCAGCGTTGTCGGTTCTTTGGCGTGAGATTCCGTGAATACCTCCAAGATGCTCTCCCACACTCTGGTACTGTTTACGTGTATTAGAGACAGCATACATCCATGGCTCGAGAGTTCTGTCGAACGATGCTTGCTGTCTGATTTAGCATAGATTTTAGACGTTGAAAGCTCTAACATGAAGTCCATGGCGAGGTCTTAGGAGATTATGGATGAGGTTTCGATAGCTTTGATTGTTGGCGATGGTTGCAGAGTGAGAGGTTGGGGAAGGTGTAAGAGGCTTAACGTCAGTGTCTTTAGGTAAACGTAAGGGATAGAAGTGAGAAGGATAGGTTATGTTTGATTGGGTCTTGTATGCTACTGAAAGCGTGCGGAGAGTTGACACTTCCCGGCTGCCCACATCATGGGAGACTATTTCTTTTCAAAGTATCTGGAAGAAAAAAAGATTTGTGTGACCGTAGACTCCATTGGTTACCTGTCTGAGGCCTGTCACACAGCTGTTTGAGGATTGATGTCGTTATTCTAACACCGGATAGAGAAAACTCATACAGCCGTCACCGGAAGACCGTTCGGTAGAGAGCAGTGTTCTGTTTCGGGGGCCGGCTTTTTCTAACCCCTACCCTACCCATTCGGAAGGCAGCATCAACGTGGTACTAGTTGTCATACAAGGAGAACACCTTAGTGCTGTCACACTCCCGTCCAGACAGCAGCACGACTTCACTATCAGATCTAGCCCGCATCATAGTGTAGCAACTTAAGGTACAACAGTAACTGCTTTTTGTCTTACGCCTATCCAACAGTCCTTTCAGGTATAGTGGGACCTCGAGGAAACAAGCTATCAGTCAGAATACAGAAAGTAAAGAGACGTAATTGGCTATCTCAGCAGTTGCTAGGGTGACCTTTAAAGTCATCCTATACTCCTCAGCTTTATCATCGTGCATCGCCTATTGCTGTCAACTGATCTTGTATTTAGAATATTGTCATTAATTTATGTTTTGCAACAAACAAACTAAGCAGGTCTCAAAAAACAACATCTACAAGGAAACAACTTTCTTTTGGTTTCCGAACAAATTTAATCTTCATCAAAGCAGTGTCCATAGATTTGGCTGTTATACAATTCAGTAAATTTATAAATTCGTTTTGTGTACATCATAACTGAGTTTCGTGAAATAGCATAGTTTACGCATTACGAATCGGTTTCACCTTTAGTTAATATTTACCTCTGAGGTACACGCTTTTAACCCTCTAACTTTGATTTATGCGGCTGTATGGTTAGGACACTGACTGAACCGTTAAGCGTTTTACTTACATCACATACTGTTGAGTCGCTTCGGTATACTAATAAACTGCTAGGCACAGCCGCATAATATATTACCGTCGCATTCTCCAATTTAATGGAAAATCTTCAAATATCATTCTAAACGTTATGACCGTAATTAGAAGCATCAAGTGAAATATTAAAGTTTAGTAACTAAGGGTAGCTGAATGCAGTCGTAAAAAGCAGCATCTGCCTGTAGGTTAAGTTCTGGGGATGGCAATAACTTTTATTATGGATATTTAGAACACTTAAGGAAGGATTTATACTGCGATGTCTCTGGTGCAGAAGTTTACACGTCCGTCTATATGACTGAGAAATTTGCAATCACAATAGTAACTTTAGTTATTCAACTGGCTTAGTAAAGAAATGCAATCAAGATCATTTTGCATACAACAGCCAGTGATGAGTTAAAACAATAGTAAAGTATACGATTCCACATCAGATTATACGTCGCACCTATTGAATGAGCATTTGCGGTATCCTTGGGCTACCCATACCTTGAAGTCCGAGGTGGGATTCAAATTCACAACATTTTGATGACAAGTTGTCAGCTTTAATCAACACGTGAATATACTGATGCATAAATTTAATGACTTACAAAAGCCGTTCTAAAATCATATAGTCTCTATGGTTTAACAAAACAGCCTTCTCGCATCAACATCTTCAAAATATTTCTCTCGTCATTTCTTTAGTAAAAGAAATACACCTTGACATATGAATATAATATAGAACACTAGGAAACAATAATAATCCATAAATTTATTATAAAAAGAATGGATGAATCAGCCGGTCAGTAAATCAATCAAAACTGAACAGGTTAAACACTCTACATTATTATTCTCCTGTTTTTCGCTAACATATTATACAACACATCTTAGCCCATGTCTAAATGATGATAATAATGATCGATTTGTTGTCAATCGACTATGAAAGATGGCAAAAAGACAGTAAAACAAAACATAAACCATGAAAGTCAAAAAACAAAGAAAATAAGACTGAAAAGATTAAGGAAATAAAGATAGCATGGAGTAAATCAAAAGAACTATTGCAATTGCCATTCAGCTACGATTATCTTTTTCACTGGTTCTTCGAATCGGGAGAATGAAAAAGACAATGGAGAGATGAGGATAAAAGACTTGAAAAGGGATAAAAACGTATCGTAAACGCACAAACGATGATTGACAAGGCAGAAGGAATCGAAAAGAAACCGATCGAAGGACAAACCTTCATGGATAGATAATAAGAAAAGAAGTGGATTCTCCGCCATAGAAATCATGCCGAAACAAAACATTATTGTCATATATATATATATATATATATATATATATATATATATATATATATAGTGGCTGCGCGTGGTCTACCTAATCAAAAGTGATTTTTATCTATTCAGGTATGTCCCACTACGAACCCAAGAGACAAATAATAATGATGTATGTATAGAGAAAAAGAGCCTAGAAAGGGTCGGTGTGAAGGCGAGACAGGTACCATCTGTGAATAGGATAGAAAGGAGAGAATAAGATTATCTAAAAGCAAAAAGAGACAAAACCACTCACTCGAAACCACCGGTTACCGAAATATACACATAGAGAATTCAATACAGAAAAGAGTGAGAAATTAAGAGAATTTGCGTAGGAGGGGCGCATTGTATATAACTCCATACATTTTTTATACACAATGAAAATGCTTGTGTTAGAATTGAATTGACTGAAGAATTCACACAACTTATTCACACATGTGAAAAAAGATCCAAATAAAGCAGATTACGAGAAATGAGTTGATAAGGCTAATTGAACAGGTTGTTTAGAAAAAAGCATATTGATTTCTGTATAAATGTATAAGCGTTTATCATCAGACTAATAGATCTACTGAAAGTATAAAGTGATTATGATCTGAAAAAAACCAAGCAAACATAAATCAAACAAAGAAAGTGATTGGAATATTAGTAAATAATCCTAAAAGATGTTAATGGAATCGGGAAAAACAAGGCAATTTTTCTTCAGTTAAGCAGCGAAGTGTTTCATTAGAGAGATCGCCTAGTTCAAGAGAGAGAGATAGCAAAATAAGGAGGATAAAGACGGAGATTTTTAAATTTCCTAGTAACTTTAAGGTCATGAATGATAAATGGTGAGTGGATGAAAGTGATACTGTCATCGAAATGACTGTAGAACCGATTGCTACAGAAATATTAAAAAAAAGATCAAAAGGGCTTCACAAGGAAAAACAAACAAATATTGCCATATAAACACATGCACATTCGTGCGAAAAAGATGTTTGCTTTTATAATTTACATATTATACGAAACATAGATGGGATCAAGTTTATCATTGACAAAGCTATCTCTTAAAAGAATTCGCTGTTTCTCTCCCATTGGATTGATTGGCACTGTTCGAGGATCAACAACCACAACCACACCGACAATCATTTGATGTTCAGTTAATACATGAGCTGTAATAGGATGAACAAGATCCATTGCTTCATTTTCTTCCCCAGCCAACTCTGCAACTACAACCAACAGGTTCGACCAACTGAATACAGCGCTAAATAATAAAAATTAATGAGAAGCAGCAATGATTTGTGACAAATCAAATAGTTATCTGTTGATCAACAAAGTTAAAATTCTTTTCATAAAGCAAAAACACCCAACACATAAAGTAATGAAACTGCGTTACCAAGAAGATTGTACGACTAAGTACTTTGCATGTCATAATCATCTACTCTTCGATGCATGACGCTGGACAAAGTAGGAATACAGTGGCAAAATATTTTTTGTCAAGAAGCAGAACTATTCAACCAATTATGCGAACTGTGGAAATGAATCGTGTATGGAACGAGATTATACGTTCGTGTTTGAAAACTTCAGGTGATTTTACTTGGAATCGGCGACATTTACTTCTTGGCTTACCACACACTGTCAACATCTAGTTACTTTTCTCGTTAGAATTAGTTTGTTCTAGTATTCAACCTCTTGTAGGATATAGCAGCTGTCTAGCCTAGTTGATTATTCACATATCCAAGTGTGTTTGCTCGTCAAAGGTGCGTTAATCACAAACTGGTCATTTTTAAAGAATACAAGTCAATTTTAACACTTGTCGGTAAGGTAAATCTTCAGCTTTGAGTCCTAAATGGTTTATTAGTAAGGCCTCCAACTTTAGTTAAAGAGGACATAATTTTCCTCAAGATCCCAGAAGCAAGTTAACTGTACTAGTGGAACCAAAGACATGGGTATCTGACTTCAATGAGGTTACAAACGTCCATACTGTTGTTGTAACGAATGTCCTGGGAAAAAAATGAGTACCGAGTCTGACCCAATCCTTATAACAGCATACTTCTAGCATGTTTCAAAAAACAAAAGAGCACAAGCTGTGGCTTACATAGCAAGACATTCAGAAAAATCTCGTTTTGATTTTTTTAAACACACTGGGATTAAAAAGATACTGGTATAGTATAATTTCCCATTTTAAAGAAATTATTCAGATACTTACCATTCACATATTTTCTTATGTGAACGCATCACAGTGTTTTCAATATCGATTGGATGAAAACGCATCCCACGTAGAAGAATAGTTTCTTCTAGACTACCGACCACAAAGATTGCGTCATGTAGTTCTGTTGTACAATAAAATAAATGTGAAAAGAAAACTAGTAAATGTGAACACATAGTTTAGTATGCGTAACTTTCTTTTTGTCTATATACACGCCATCAAGGAGAAGTAAATTATTAAAAAGTTACATTTATGAAGAATAAAAATAACAGCTATAAACAATACAAGGTAATATTATTTGTCGCTTTATACTTTGTACATTTATGCAGATCATTAGATCCCATTGCGAAACCTTACTATAATGCATAATTTTACCTTCATACATAACCTGTGTTCAAAACTTGTGCTTTGTTATTATTAATGAAACAAAATTGAAATTGAGGCCTTCAAAATGATACATGTTTTAATCTGATAAGTGGTAAATAATTTTTAACATTAGTATAACATACTGTCGTGTTTAGAAAAAGGTTATACGAGTGTAAGAATATAATTGCACAGATTTTTAGAGTGTATGAACAAAACACAACTGAGAACATACAGACTACCTAACTGTTTCGGAGGTGATCTTGGTGAAACAAATTAATGCCCCCCAACAACAAATCCTTTTTCGATTGCATCAACTTATTACAAGAATACTGTGGTTTTTCGTGACCATAAAACTTCAGGTGAGTAGGGTTTGTTTAACAAGTCTATTTATGTGCAGACTACAACAGCTTTATACGAAATTAATGTAGTCAGACCGATTGGAACAAACACTTACAATATACCAAAGAAATGCCTGTACTAAGTATAGAGAAACCGATTTTACGAGATGAAGAAAAATTCAATAGAAGCATCATTTTTCATTTACGCTGCAAATGGCAAAGAAATAGGACATTTAAATTAACACTTGTCGTAAATTCACTGATTCACCTTTATAGTTACGTTTTACTCAGACTTGTATAATTTTTATTATTTTACGTACATTAGTTAAGTGTAACTGATAGGAAATGGTCTAAACAGAAATCAACATTTTAAGTTATCTGCTGATAAGGTAGAAGTTTTGGATTCCAATTTCGTGTAGTCTAGAAAAAAACTTTATAGGACAATTTATTCTACGGTTGATCAATCAAAATAGGTTAATTAACTTTTGGTTTCACACGTTCATGAAAAGTGTACATAAATGATATATTTTTGTTGAACAAAGAATATTCCTTAAAGTCAAAGGCCGGCCTTTGGCTTCTGATTTTCGTGGGTCAGTGAAGTATGAGGTTCTAAGTGAGAACAGTCGCTACTCGTATCCAGTTCAAGTATCTCATCGTAATAGCATCCAGTCGAGTATTACTACTTATTTTGGTCACCAACGGCAATACAGAAGCTTTGAATATGCACGCATATTTAGAATAACATATTCGAGCAGCTAGTCTATATTAACTTGTTATTTGAAATAATCATCAAGTGAATTCTGCTCTTGCTGCATATTTGAAGCATAACTAATAACTGAGTTTTGAAGGATAGTGATAACAGGCGATTCCCGGTATATAAAGAGTATATGCATAATCCAAAATAACAGCTTATTAAAATGTCAATGAAAATATTGCCTTATACTTAGATAAACTGGTGCAAAACAAATGGATTATAGTCCGTTGTCAATTCATATATCTGGCGGTATTAGGGATGAAATTGGCAAAGGATATAGGGCACTTTCCCACTCCCAGTCCCCAACATGTTTCCCAACAATCAAGAGAAAAAATGACAGGTGAACAGTAAAAATCACGCCTTTCCATTCAACCTTTAAAGCAAGATGTAAAGTTTAAGCAGGTTCAGGATAATGTTACCTTATGCATAAGGAAAATATAAGGTTTATGTTGGATGATGATTGAAGGTGAAATGAAGATTTCGACCGCTGCCGGATTCGAACCATTGACTAACGGTCCGACTGCTGACCAGATTTTTATTTTTGTTTTTGTAAGGTTGTAATAAGCCATAACTGTAAGTAACAGAAACTTCCTACGTCCACAGTGATTATCGTTCTATACATTTAGAACCAATAAACGGATATCTGTAACAGTACTTCAACATTAATACTTAATGTGCGCTGTAAAAGTATGTGACCTCTGCAACACATACAGCAGGAACTCACAATACAGTTATTGTACCTTTTTTTCCATCTTCTAAATGATGCGAACGCGATGACGGAGAAAACTGTTTTGACAAACAAATTAAAAATCTGTACACACCCATACATTTTCACTTATTTCATTTTAATTTACTTCGAATTTGCTAGAAAGTTGAAAACGCATACAAACCCGTCGTTCAAGCATTGGATAAAACAATCATACTGTCATGCTTTTATAGGCTTACATTGAGTTGCCAGTTTAAAAAAAATGAATAAGAAACTGCGTCTGTAGGGAACTATGAGAACTAAAACGTTAGTTAACACAGTGTTAAAACATACAGGTAATGAAACAGATGAATATTAAATACAAGACTCAATGGTGGTTGAAAAATTAGTGATTATACAACGCTGTTACGTTATATGCAGAAACCTGATACTGTACACAAAAATGTCAACTTGTATATTTCAGAAAAGACGTAAGTCGATCAAAAATCTCCTTTCTCGCATAAATAATGCTGCATCTGGGATGATATATATATATATATATATATATATATATATATATATATATATATATATAGGTAGGCTTAAATTAAGAGGAAAGAATAACGAACAGAATAACGCTTCAAACTTAGTCGCTTGAATATTCTTTCTTTTTCTCCACAATTTTCATCTAATTTCGATTGATAAGTTGGAAAACAAAACATATTTTCTTACTGTGTTATAAGTTCACATACCAATTATTATGTATGAGTTTGAACAGTTGAATATTACTATTAACTATCAGTAAATCGGTTCAATTAACACTGGAACCTACAGAGAATATTTAAGTTTTTTCTAACATCAGTCACTAATTGTAAGAAACAAATAAAATACATGAATAAAAATTGTCATTTAATGCCTGAAATAAAATTACACTACAAAAAAAAACAACTACCTTATGTCACAATGAGAAAAGGTTCTCGGTAGAGCCTCTATTAAAAGATTTCAAAAATGCATCACTATGTAAGAGTTAATAGATTAAAGTAAATGTAGTAAAAGTGACTTGTAAAAAAAAAAGTATTACCTCCGTCTGATTGAGTTAATTCAGTCCGACGAACAAAGCCTAGAAATCCAGTACGGGCATAAATTCTTTCCGTATCACCAGTAACTAAACGAGCATGTAAGGAATCAGTAGCATTTGCTCCTGGTATCGGTTGTGAAGCAGTACCATTGGGTCGATTTAAACTAGCACTGTCAAATGGACCCAACAGTTCAGTAGAATTATGTGGAGATGATACCCATATTTCACCTAATTGTGAATCGGCACATTGACCAAGTGTATCAGGATTAGCAATCGCTACATGTACACCAGGTAACAACTAAATACGAAAAAGTAAGTAAAAAATTACATAAACAACAGGGTTAATGCTAGGAATAAGTACGTTATATTACAGCCAAATAAATCAATAAAAGTGCAACTATGACTCAGAGATCTGAAACATTTGACACTTAAGTACACTGGTTATAAAAACCGCGTTGAGTATTGTATCTGCATACTTTTTATGAAAACATTATACTTTTTAGAAGGATATATACACAATAAACTTACTTTCCCAGACTCCATAAGACACAGACTATGCGGTGATCCCTTCTCAAGTAACTTGACACGATCATTTCGTAAACTGACACGATCCACGTAGACAGTTGTACTTTCCGGTGAACTAGCACCCTAATATAAAGAATGATATAATAAAAAAGAGAGTACAATATCACATTCATAAGAAAACACCGGTTAATGAACAAAAATGAAGTAGGAATTATAGTAGATGTTGAAAAATAAACCACCAATAGTTTGATTTCAAAGCATGTAACAAGAAATATTCAGTGCTACTGTAGTGGGCGCTGCTGATCAGAATGGATACACGTAGTATATGTTGAGAGGGTGACAGAAATCATGGGGAACTACCAGCAATGGGTAAAGATTCTGCCCAGAGAAACGCAAGAGACGATATGGGTATATTAAGAGCAAATCGAGATAGAAGCAGAAGAAGAAATGAAGCACATTGTGCAAATGACTGTCTTAGTAGAAAGTGAACATATTTTATGACTACTGTACAAGATGTCAATAATTAACATTCCTTCCTGAGTCTCAGTCTTGTCGTCTCCTACAATACTAGGAGGAACTCAATTTACACAAACAGAAGTAGTGAACATTTCAAATAGCTTGACACGATTACAACCGTATCATACAAAAGTTTCTAACGTAATCTAAGTTTTAGCTTTATAGCTCTAATTAATCAACATCTAATGACTTTGTAATTTGTTTACCTCTTTAGGCTTTACAATCGAGTGCAATGAAATCATGTTGTTTTTAAGAATGGAATTGCTAACAAGACAATTTTTTAACTTGGAAGAGTTGACATATCGTTTACTCGATCAAGAATTTGATTCTCAAGAAATAGTTCTTAATTTCAAGTTATGGCCAGCGTATTTCGATCTAAGAAGGGTGGTTTATAGACCAGTATATAAACTTGTGCTAGGGTTCACTAACTGTGTTGAATATTGTTCAATTAAAAAAAAATAATGAATATATTTGACGTACATTAGGTAGTATTTGAAGTGCATCGTTTGCATGAGGCAATTCAACTTATCAAGAATGTATACGAATACGAAATAATCAATCAGTTAAACAAAATTAGGTTTCAGGTTTTAAAGTTTCTCGATAGAATTCACTTTTATGCTTATAAGTTTATTTCATTATTATTAATTTTGTAATTAATCTTTCTCTATGGCACTTTTGTTATGACGCCTGCTTGGGAAATAAGAATATGGAGAATGAAATGATCATGGAGAATTAGCGCATACAGGCTTTGCATGACTAATGACAGTAGGGCTTGGTGACAGTTAGGAGCTAAGATATACCATGACAACTTGCATCAAAACGCCACACTAAATAAACTACGGGTACATCAAAGTGTAACACTCATTTCACACAAGAAAGGTAATCAATTCACATAATTATGCGTGCGTATATTCACTACTACTACTGCTATTATATATACAAGGGATAGACTACACGGTCATCTGGGCGTTCGATCTGTTATTTCCTATTAACAACAAATATAAAGAGCTATCTGAAGAAGATCGAGGATAGTATGAAAAAACCCAGTATAAACGAGCTAAAAAGAAAGAAAAAAAACTATCTGGCTTTCTAAGGAGTCTAGCGTTTATTAGAGCATCTATCTCAAAAAAATATATAATTACTTTATAATATACCCGGTGGTTATTGGAATTTTCTTTCTTCAAAAAACCTGCCAACTAGAATAAAATTGGCTTACAGTATAAAAACGCAAACTAGTTTTCAGTTGAAAGTGCATTTAATCACTAAGATTATGAATGCCTACACTTCTATTTGACAAGCATTTTTGTCGATCAATGATACTTCCTGTATACTGCGTTTTTTCTACTTCACTTCTGCTTTTATTTGTAATATAGTAAGTGCATGAAAAATACAATCAAACTCTTGCATAATTTCTCCCAGACACTAAGTTTTTGACGTAGTACTTTAAAAACAAAACACAAAAGAGCAGAAGAATGTCAGAGTAAGAGGAAGTTTGTAAAGCCTATCAAAAATATATGGTCTTATTTTTGATTCTTCAGTAAGTTTGATGATAATTTGAAAATTGTAACACAACGTATCAGATACATAGGTCTGATGAGGCCAATCGAAGGTACAGATGATTATTGGTTTGAACTAGACAGGGAGAGTGATGATAAACGACTTGCCAATTCTATATTAGATACAATATTACTTACGTTTCCACCATAAATTATTCGTTATAATTACATTAATGTAATCATACAACTTTCAACATCTGATATTCTTTGTTTTTATTGGCAGTAAAGTTTTCTATATCTCTGGTGTAGGTGTTGCATCATTCCAATTAAATCTGTTGGATGTTGATTCGATGAAAAATATTTCAGCAATCAATGTCTCTCTCCACTTAATTATATTGGACTTCACTAAGTACAGAGGTTTTATCCTACTATATTGTGTGGTTGTGTGGTAATGGATACATTGCAGCAGTCAAGTTTTTTGTAGATTATTGATCTTATTGGGGTTTGTTATTCGACAGTTGGCTAAATTCCTATGTTCCGCTAATCTAACTGACCCCGACCCGCTAGCTATCCCTATGTACTTGACCTGGCAGTCATTGTATGGAATTTGACAGATTACATGTTTCTGAATTGGATCTATCAAATTTTTATTCTGACAAAGCTTATCTCTGAGTAAGTTTGTAGGCTTAAATGCCACTCTAATTCCAGTTTTGCTGAGAATCCCACGTAAACTTTATTCCTCATTTTCAATAACTACTTCTCAGTACCCAACCTTTTTCATTAGCCCAAAGCAACTGACATTGGGACTAGCTAGAAGAGAAAACTAGTAATACGAAAAGTAAGCCGTCTAACTGTCCTTCACTTAAATAACAGTCAGTTTATATGTACACGGGTTGGATAACAATTAAAATCTACCCCTAGATGAATTTTATAGCGGTAGGATGTCAAACCATCGACTCAGAAACGTGGCTAATTTTTGTTATCAGACAGTCAGCATTTTCTCAGATAAATTTCTACTTTATTCCAAGCTTGATTGATAATTCTAATAACATCATGCACCTTGCAACGAAAATAAGCAACAGAATCCAGGGTCACTGTGCTTTCTGCACATAATAGGGCGCTTAAAGAATACAAGCTTCTTTAGTATACAGAAATTAATTCACAAATCTGACAGGCATTATGATCAGTGTTATCGGTCTGAAAAGATATGCACAATTCTATGATGATTTATCTTCTTTTACTCACATAAATGAAATTCTCACTTCAACGTGATAAACTATTCATGAATAATGCTAGAAATCAATAAAACACGACAAAGATTGGAATCAAATACACAGTTTAAAACGCGCCTTATTATTATCACTTTGGCTAAGGTATTCAGGTAACAGTTGTAGATTTGATTGCACTATCATTTTGATTGTGTTTATTTTGATTAATGCGTTAGCAAACGTAAATAAAAGATCACATAATTCATTACTTGGATAATTTACGTTAATTGCCAACAGCTACAATATGTGATAAGTATTAAAGATAAATAACTAATTCTTGTATGATTTGACTGCAGTCATTAAATTAAATTGAAGAATAAAAGCTGGATACAAGTTCATTTAAACAAAATATGTAGTGCCGTCAAAGTTTATGTTCAATCTAGATATCCTTCTCAAGGTTACATCTCTTCTCTATTAATAATACTTTGTTACAGAGATGCTAGTTAAATTCACTGGTTATCTATCAATAATTTGATGCTTTGGGAAACTCATGTTGTTATTGATTTTCTTGTCTAATATAATCGATAACAAAAAAGTAATCCATCTTGAAAAACTACTCATTACTGTAGTAATCTGATACTTCACAAATAAATGATCAGTTTAATGATTATTATAAAATAATTAAAAATGTTCTCAAAGGTTTAAAATACGGTTAACAGAAAGCAATCGATAAGATAGTATTATATAAAAGCGGTTAACCTGAAAATCAGTGAAGGATTTTTTACACGGTACGAGTAAACTATAAGAGAAAGCTGTTGCCCAAACATTATGTTTACTGCTGACAAGTGAATAACAACAAGGTATTAGGTAGTTTGTATTTGTGTAAATCACAGCGTCTTTGAAATGAAATAATTTCAACGTTTCGCTCGGAAGTCTGGTCAGAGCTTCTTTAGGGAAAAAAGAAGCTTGGATCATACTTCCATGTGAAACATTGTAATTATTTCATTTCAAACATGCTTTGACTTACACAAATAAAAACTATATCAAATGTCAACCTTCTACTCAATGCCCAATATCTGCGGTACTTTGCGATCAAATCTTAATTATATTTCATATAATGTATTATACATGACACAATTGGCAGTGCAAAACTTAACTGTTGTCGCCCTAAAATGAATTATTTCCTTAAAACTATTTCAAAATGCTATCATCTAGCTTCTCACACTGATGAAAAGCTTTCAATTACTCAATGAAATGAGGTCAATAATTAGAGTAATTGGATATTTGCGCGTACATGGAATACATACAACTAAAAAAGGTTATTAAAAGGTGTATAAACTGTATTAGTCTGGCAAAAAAGTAAACTGACAAAGAAAACCAAGTGAACATACTTGTAAAGAAATAGCCAAATTCACCCGACAACCAAATGACGTGCTTACAGCACGTCCTATTAATCCTAAACCGGCAAACAACTTGGTAAATGTAGCAGTGAGATGAACTCGAGGTCGTTCTTCGGCTACAACAACTAAACTACGAATGCTTGATAGACTGATTTCACGCTGCTGGTAATATGAAATTACAAAGGAAAGAAGTCAATCAATAAATTTTCAAACATTATTAGTTATAGTATTAAAAACAATATATTCTAGCTAAAATTCAAGAACGTGAACAAACTAATGAGAAAATAGTAAATGAAACCGAAAACCTCTGCAAGTATTGGTCATGTCCGGAATAATATCACACTGTAGAGAGCTTGAAAATGTATAAACATCCTATAATTCAAATTGCGGTTACAAAACCATTTATTTGCAGTGCACTACGGACAAAAAATATTGAGTATAAACCATAACTAAGCAAGTTCAATACCTAAAAGAAACTTAAACAAAACCATTAGGATTCGCATGTACTAATGGAAGCCTGCAAGTGGTTGACACTTTGCAGCTGCCCACATCATGGAAGGCTATTTATTTTCAAAGTACCTTAAAGAGAAACAGATTTGTGTGATCGTAGAGACCATCAGAAATCTGATAAAAGTATATCATACACAGCCTTTCGAGAGCTGTTAATGTGACTGCTTTAACACTCCAGCTAACTTGACCAGTAACTCTCTACCAACATCCTTAAGTTCCTCTGGGACTTAAGTTTATCTGGCCTTACTTGTCTCTCTCGTTTCAGGTTATCTACAGCTTTCTTGACTTCTGCAGTTGTTGGGGGTCATATCTCGATGATCCATTCACGATCCGACTAGATAGCGGGCAACGCAATACTGGTTGGAGGACAGTTGAACTGTTCCTCGGGGTGTTCCATCCATCGCTCTAATCATGTCTTCTGCGAGTGAATCGCAGACCCATCCTTCTTCGCTATAGTCTCACTAACTGTCGTCCTTAATAAGTCTAAATGATTGTCTACTGTTACCTATCGCCTCTGATCTTTCCATCTCTTCAACCTTCGCTGCTCACCACTGTTCGCGGTCACTGCGTACACTTTTAGTCAGTCTACATTTGAGTTGCGTTCACTGCTCATTGTATTCAGAACCTGCAGCGATGCGTCCGTGTGCATCCATTTATTCAGAAGAAGCTGCTCATATTCACTAGCTGTTTCAATCACCCTTCGACAGTCGGGTACGGTCTTCAACTCTGTTATTATAGTAGACTACAAATGACTCCAAACTTCTACTGGATCAGTGATAGTGTTTCGTCTCCGATAGCTGCCTAGGCAGTTTCTCATTCAGAGTGGTCTTAGTGCTCCAGTTGTTAACCTGCACTCTTTTTGGTCTCGCTACATAAATGTTTCCATGGCCATTTAAATGCAGACAAGTACCTGCTGCAGTAGTGGAGCCAGTCTTCCACCGACCCTCTCCAGCGGTGACTTATAGCAGTATGGTTTGTCACTGTGTATGGCTGAGTTGAGGTCGGTGGACACTATGTCAGATAATGTCTTTATTTATGTCTTAAATTTGTGAAAGCTAGGATCCAACCTCGTAGTGAGCCTTCTGACCTAGTGCTTAATGCTATGCTTACACTTGCAAGACCGCGAGAACAAATTATCGAATATCCAGAAATTCGAAGGGTGGATTTTGCAGATTCATCATATTGGCCGTGAGAGGTTCAGTGACTTACCACACTCGGCTCTTGTATGCGTGTCTCAGAAACACAGAACACATCCATAAGTCAATTCGCTAGTTTTGGTGAGTGAAGCTTGTTGGCTAAACTAACACAGGATGCAGACATTGAAGGTTTCAATGTGTAATTTGGAACGTGGCTGAAGAAGACCAAGGATTTAGTTCTGTAGACTCATATCTTTGTCAAAAGGTGCAGATCTAGAAGAAATTAAAGATGTGGGACTGTTACTTGAGTGACATGAAGGAAGATTAGAAAGTAAGGATGAAGGTGGTGGGTAGTGGGCTGAGGGAACTTGAGAGCTGACAGAGTTGTGAGGACGGTTGATGCTTCCCCGCTGTCTACACCGTGGAGGGCTGGTCTTTTTGAAGTACCTGATAAAGAAGCGTCAGTGCGTGACCGCAGAGCCCAGCGGACATCTGCTTGAGGCTGGTCACGTATAGGCTTTTGATGCCATAACAATTGGCCTATATTATGGAAGAAAGACATCGTCGGGCATAAATCCTGTGGTTTTGGATCACCGCTAACTACCGATGACTGATTTAAGCCAAAATAATTCGTCATTTCCTTGCTTGTGAACATATTAAGGGTAAAAGTAACTGTTTTTTGTCCAACAACTATCTAATAGACCTTTTTGGTATGGTAGGACCTCGAGGGGAACAAGCGTCTCACTATCATAGCTCGTTGGATCATCGTGAAATACAAGCCCAACCACCACGTCAAAGTAACCGCTATCGGTCAAGACTTAATATTGATATGTTTCAAACATTCGTGTTACCTAAAGAACATCTGCTTTTTCGCCTAGGCTAGAACAAGGAACACGTCTTTATACAAAATGTAAGAAATAAAATCCTTGACGACATACGTTGGGAACATTATGTAGATGTTGAATAATCATTGTCTCTAAAGTACAACTTGTAGAGAAGAGGATGCTTAGTTCACAAATGCGAGAGTTCAAACTTTCAATTCTGCATTTTTATTTGGTTACTTGCTTAGTACTGCAAAATTTCACCTGATGACAGCATCCTAAAAACTTAATAGAAATACCTAACATACCTAAAAATTGGACTTGGTCCCGAAAATGGAAATTTTACACAAACGCTATCATATGATTACAAAATATATTGGAATATCAAATACACAAAGGCATTTTCATCTCGTATCAAGGTACACATAGATCAATAAAAGACAAAGCATTATTGAACAGATACGTACATGACTGTCACTGCGTTGATAATGCAGACAAAACAAACCAGAAAAACAGACATGCAATATCAGGAAACATTAACAGCACACTGGGAGAGTGGATCTAAGGATTATAAAATATGTCTCTCTCTCTCCATATATATATATATATATATATATATATATATATATATATATATATATATATATATATATGCAAACACATTGGTGAATGAAACTGATGAAATAACATCTGGTAGAAATAGCCTCCATAGTAAACTATGTGGATCGTAATAATAATAATACAAGTGTCAAGTGTACAGTGATTACAGCAAACAAATGTGGATATTTTAATGGTAAATCAACCTATCTAATAACAAACCAATTGATTAAAATTACTGGATTGCAAGGATAGAATATATGCCGAACTGCTAATAAAACAGTTATATTCAACTAACCTTTAAGACAGACATCTGTTTAGCAAGGTAACGAGTAGCCAGTTCCATAGTATAATGAGAACAGAATGCATCACGAACTATAGATGAAGTGTGAAGGAAAATAACAGAGAAAACTAACTGAATTTACAAATTCGGAATATGTGAAATATATAAGTGCAAATATATTTTCGCCACCACTAGCAAATCTCTTAGCTACTAAACATGCTGGCATACACCAGTGAGGCTTACAGGAAACATCGGTTCTCACTGACCATTCACAATAAGAAAACAGTACACTATTGGCTATAATTACTAATACTGGTAGCAAGGGCTAGGACCTCAACTATGATAATACTTTCACGTTGAGATTCTCTCCTCCAATACTTCGCCAAGTAGTAGTGTACAACAGAGTAACTATGCAACCCTGATCAAAGTTCCTTACTAGAAATGAACCAACTGTGTAGGCGCTTATGAGAAGTCGTTTGAAGCAACAACAAAGAGTAGTGCCAAGAATCCTATTCAATACTGTTAGAGATGATAGATGTACAACTGATCATAACTCTACGTACCTCTAACTGGAGTTGACTTATTCACAACAGGACACTCACTTGACTTAGAATATGCATGCAACAGTCTCGCCGGGCGAAAACGTTGGAAATACAGTCTTCTGAATGCCTTCAGAAGAAGTGAGTATTTTTCACCTAAGTTTCGCGAGGGTGAGATGCCTAACTACATGTTGAAGAATGGGTAGGCTGCACAGCAGTCAGCTACGTTCTACCGAAAAAAGGTCTAGCCTCATTCTGAAAACCAAGCACTCAGACATGGTTGATCTTACTAGTGATTTCAATACATAAGTAGGTAAGCTGAGTCAGACAGAAAAGCACTTAGAGGGCACTTTCGGAATCTCGGCTGAACAAACAGATAACAGCGGTCGCCAAATAAAGCCATGCTCAGATAAACCTTTACTTTTGATAAGACCCAAATTTAGACATTGTCTGATATGGTATCCACCGACCTCAACTCAGCCATACATAGAGACAACTGTGGGTGTGTTAGAGCATGTGGTGAGATGTCGGATGAGCCGTGTACGTTGAGTGGTTCTGTCAAGCAAGCCCATTCTCCCTAGTCTTATTCAATTTTACCACAGACGCTCTTATGGTAGTATGTATCTCGTCATCTGACTTCATGGGGATGGATCTTTTCACAAAAACCTCCTCGGCAAATCTAGAATACTTAGATGACCTGGTTCTATTAGGTGAAGACGCTGACAAGATGTAGTATTCGGGAAACCTTTGGTGGTAGTTCAGAATGATTCAGGTGCGTTTATGACTTCCAAAACACAAATGGTTGCACCACGACTGGTCACCAGTCGAGTCCCTGGTAAGAATAAGTAACGAAGTAGTTAAGCGCGTTGACCACTTCAGTTACCTAGCAAGTCGGATCAGTCCTGGTGACTCAATTGTCAACGAAATCCCCACACGAATACAATAGGTTCTATTAGTTTTTGCGGAATTATGCTATCTACGTTGTCGCAGTGATATCCGATTGTCTATTATGGATTAAGTGTACTGTAGTAAAGTTTGCTTTGTTTCACTACATGACTATGAAAAATATCTATTAATGGTAGACGACATGAGGTATTCAATCGCCGTTGCCTTCGTAGCACAAGCCGTATGCCATGGTATCACCACGTGAGTAATGCAAAAGTCAGGTGTGGAGTTTTAGGGAGGAGAGGAAATTTAGTTAATGATGTTGTGAACTTTCATCGACTGGTACAAATGTATTCACTCTTTGAAATCTTCAGAAGTTTAAACATCTACACTAATATTCATTGCTTAAAGTTTTCGCATCTCTCCCGACTTACATACACCAGTCAATAAAAGCCATCGATTCCAACCTATCTAGTCTTACTGCTGAAATAATTCTATCAAGCAAATGTGCAAGGGAACTGCTTATCTGTGTGAACTGATTTGTGACTACTTAACTGAGAGTGATAAGGACTAACTACTGATTCCTATTAGTTGCAATCGAGGATGTATATATACGATTCATACTTGAAGGCAGTGTTGAGAATTAAAAAAAGTGGGACAGTATTTACTGTACAGTGACCAACTACTGTACTGTTAACATAGGCTCAAATGACATATATAAACATAGAGGTATGTAATTTGACTTGAATTACTGAAGCTTTTTTCGACTTAAAGGCACGTCTGGCAGGCGCATGCCAACATGCAGACGAAACAACCTTATACCACATGAAATGCACATTACTTTAAGTTGTTTTACCCCAAAGCTGTAAGAAACTTAAGTTATGATAGTCGCCTCAAACGCTTCAAATACAAATACAGCGCTTCTAAGCCACACCAACAGCTGCTACGATAAATTATGCGGGTGGACATTAATCATTGTCTAGGGATCGATTATTTATTATCAGAAAAGTAACTGAACACATAAAAAACTATCAACAGCTATAAACGCAGTAAAAGAGGTATGCATAGTTACGTTATTGCTAGTGAAATATACTAGGAAGGATGAGTTAAAATATTCTAATTCTTCCATCATATATAAATATCTTGAATTTTGTCTCATAAAGTGGCAACAAGAAACAATGTTCACAAGTTACCTTTTCTTTGACTGCAAATAGTAAGCCATAAATCAGGTACAACTTCGGTTACACTTGGTGGTATCAAAACTGAATGATGCCCACAGTATACAGATGTTAATGCCCATAGAGTAAAGCCAAGACCAGAGTAAGGATCAAGACTAAGTACAACTTCACGTGTTGGATAAAATTCACATTGCATTTTTTGAGCTCGACACAAAGCATATACAACTTGATGAGTTACACGGATTCCAGTTAGTGTACCTTTCAAATGATGGAAAATAGCAAAATAAACTTTAACACTGCAAAATGTAAGATTACATACAAAACACTGGAAATATTAGAAAATAAAATTTCTTACGCTTCATTTAGCAAAAAACAGACAAGGATAATTAGATTGGTTTATACATAGGTAAATTTAATCAATAAACTGATAGCTATACAAACGTACACTAGACCGGTGAGGATGGATCACATAAAGACTCATGTAAGATGGCAATCGTTCAGGTTTCACAAATCATAAAGGTACGGAGATAGAGGATGAAGAAAATTAGGAAGATACTTAAATGGACATTGATAAGAAACAACTGATAAGGAACAAATATATACAAAGTGAAAAGATGCTTACTATTTGGTGCAAGATAAAATTTAATGTATCTGTACAATTGCGGTATATTTTGAATAGCACTAATTATTATTGTAAGCAAATGATGCTAAAAAAATATCTATCGCAACAATAAGCACATTTTCACTTTCTACACAGTTCGAACCAACAGTCAATGGACTGTGGATTAATACGGTAAATAAATAAATAAATTTGAATACTAAGATGAATTTAATTCAGCACATTGGTTCGGATAAGGTGAATACAACTATCCATAAAATTTAATCTATTCAAAAAACTTCATTTGCGCAGCAATCATTATGAAAGTAAGGAAAGGAAAGTAGGATACTAACATCCAACTACAACAGCCTCACATGTACAAGAACTATGCTGAATAATAAGTGAAATCAAATGTTTTCAAGAATCCTGAGTCCATCATTAGAATTAAATAATTTAGTGCAATCCAATTGCACGATTCCATTGTGGCTTTCTTTAGAAATCGCAATATTGAGACTGAAGACTGTAGTCTGTTAGTAGAAAAGAATAGCGTCGAGAAAACTATCAGTGAAAGAATACACTACATAATCCTTACTGATGTCAGTAGTGTGGTCGATGGTCAAGAGAAACCTGAAAATCTATTTTAATCGCTCAAAACTCACACTTATCCGTAATGTGTTGGAAATGACCCAGTTCAAATGGTCGAATAAGAGCAAAAACTCAAAATTCATGTGGATTTGTCGGCTAACATAGGTTTATTAGTAATATCAAAATTTAATTTATGTTACACATTATACTAAACTACAAACAATGTTTCACACTCCAACATTTACATGTAATCATTTCAATTAATGCATAAGGTCACTTTGTGCACATATGTGATAATAGATTGAAATGTACTGAAATATAGAATAGTTTTATGGTTTAATAAATACATATTATTCAGTTACTGATAAGTGGGTCATCTATTCAACATGACCAACAACTTGTTAAAATCGAACATTGAATGAAAAATGTTATGCAACGCTAAACTTTACATTTCAAGAGAATATCTACATATAACTGGAAGAGGAACAGAAGCATATTGGATTCAGGCAGATGAAATCATGTCGAAAATTGAACAGTTTTTGGGAGCTAAGTTATTACAGTTTATTGTTCAGATTTCTGATTTTTATTATAATCGATACAAACTAAATCACTATAAGTGAAATCAATAGGGATAACAAGAACAGATACCGGCTGAAAGTGGACAGTAAGCTAGGAATAAACAAACACTTATTGCAGACTAGAATATGACCTCTTAGTTTGTTCTTACGCTAAACAGACTATCGCGATATTGAGCTTATCTGACTACAAAGGTTAGTTCAAAAATATATTACCTTTAAAGTCTCAAGTGGCTGGCTAATTGATCTGAGTAACTCACTTTTAACAAATGGATCTCGAATTCAGACCACTCTCCACCCACTAAATTCTGGTTAGCTGGTGGTATCACTAGGTAACATACAGAAAGTGTTGTGGAATTACTGAGCTAGATACTTTAATATTTCCTATTATCACATGTGTTTTATTTACCTTTATTCCATTTCCAGTTTTCGTATACGTCTGGGCAACGGAATGTGTGATAAGACTTCGAAATGCATAGAGCAAATTCACCGAATGTTTTGAGGTAAACTTCATCTTCCAAACATATTATCCAGAAAATATGAAGAAAACTACATGCTTGAAACTGTTCCTTTTTTTAAGCGTCAAGATTAGCAGAATAGACAACAAAGGAATGAGACAGGCTCAAAAAGAGGAATCAGTGAATGAGAGAAACTATATATAACAAAAAAAATAACAGCAGACAAAGAGACTGATTTAACAATACAGAAAGCAGAAAAAAAAGGATATTGGTTCAAGACATAAACTAGCGATTGACCAAGAAGTTGGATAAGAATATAAACAGAGCGGCTTTCATTTCGCTTTGCTACTTTTCAGTTCATTCTGCCATAACAATAATTTGAATTTCAACTTTTGTCTCATGCCTTCAGTTCTTAGAGCTCTAGGACACAGAAAATATAATAGTGATATGTACAAAGATAGCCAGATTCAAATATTTTTCAGTTCACAACACTACGCCATGAAATGAATGTCTCTTTACTACTTCAAACCAGATAAATGACACTGATAAGTGTGGAAGACACTGGTACATTGCATAACAAGTACGACACGGTCAATCAGTAAAAATCAGTGTTGTACTGTAACTTCCATTTTTCGATAACTACTACTACTACTACTATACGCAAAAATACACATCAAGACATTATTAATACTTGAATGATGTCATATTACATGTCTAGTCTACAAATATGTTGCCTTTAAACTAACATAAGAGCATCGAAACGGCACCCAATAAACTCAGAGACACACCTGTTGTTGACGCAGCAAAGTCTAAATAGGCAACTGGTTGATCTAAACAAGGTGACTGGATAGAAGCAGCAGGTTTCCGACGATTGTATTCTTCAGAATCAAGTATTGTTGGCCAGTGATTAAATGGAATACGATTGACAGCCTCCTATGAGTTGAAAACAGAATCAGTGAAAAATCCAGTAAGGAAAAAGGAAAATTTGATTACTGAATAAACAGAATACTGATATCTTCATTAACACTAAGTAATAAATTTGTTAGACAATGAATGATAGAAGCTGAATAACGATCGTAAATCATACTGAACAGACAAGTTTACAGCTACCGTTCAACATAAGATATTTCGACTACATTTATTGCAACTGTGTGATAAAGATGTTAGGTTACGAAGACACACCAACCATCAATTAAACACTATTCTTTCGCAACTGTTTTGGTTCATACGCAAGTCTACACTTCAAATTATATTGTCATTCAATGACAAGAGTACACTTCAATGCCAAATCATTCGATAGTTTTTCGGTTTTATTCTAAGCTGTTTGGACGCATGAAAGTTGACTGCTTCTCAGTATGCACATAACAGCACACAAACATACTAGCCGAAATCTTTGTAGCAGAACAGAGATAATGCAAAATTAAGCGTTCAAATGACGACAGTAGCAAAAGTTCACCTACCGATTATTAACCAATATATGAGTCTGAGTTTTGTGATTATTAAATTCCATCTGTCGAAAAAATCACATCTAAATTATGAAACAATACGACATTGTTGTATTTGCAGCCAAAAAAGTGAGAGCCCCAACCAACCAAACATTAAGAATAACTTTAAAGGCCACCCTAGCAACAAATGAAATAACCAATTAGACTTCTCCATTTTATGAACATTTACCTTTCCAGCAGAAACGAAGAAGCCTGACTGGTCATTTAGACTGTTGTCAGGGTGGCCTTTTAAGTCGCCCAACATTAATGCTCTTCAAATGTCAATCTTTATTCTCATTCTCTCGCATTTCGATCAGGCCGCCTATGCCTTAGGGCCTTGTACACTTCCCATATTTTCTGTTAAATACAAATAACAAGTATATTGTGTGGGTTAGCCGTCTAAGGTCGTCTTTTCTTTGAGTCACTGGTGTGACGTTAGCGGCTGTAGAGTTAACTGGAACATAACTCTGGTGATAATGAGTCAGGACCGGGATTCAGGCACTTCATTCAAATGGTTAATCACAGGACTTAATACGAAATCCAAACAAGGATTACGACCAGAAAATTAGACAAACTATCAAGACAGAGGTATAATACATATGTTTAAGAGCACAATGCTAGGAGTCGGGAGACGATAGGTACATTGATAGGAAACACATTTTCTGTACATCTTACCAAGCTTCAGCTTTACAGATTAAAATGCTTTGCTTGATACGTTATACACATGTAAATGCATGGCTAAAATTGAACAGTAAGCGTATTCATCCATTCACAGGATCCGTAATGAAAAAAATTGTTAACGTTAAGAGTAAACAAAATCTGAGATAGCTACTAAATAAAGGAATGAAATCCACATGAACTAACAGTACGGGTGAAATGAGGAGAAAGTAGAAACACTAAAGAGTACTTATAACTTGAATAAACGTTTTTAAATACACTTCATGAGTTTCATTCCGACTGCCAACGTAGTTTAGAGATGATGACTTATCCAACAAGGTAGTAGGCCTAGAATCTAATGAATAACCATGAGGTGTTGTCAATTTCAAAAAGAAGTATAAATATAGTTGACAATGATAAGACTGTAACAAAAATATGCAACTGCCTCATATCCCTGTTTTCTGAACATTTCGTTAACCTTGTTCAATGCTTAATTGAATAATGAGTTCATAGCACAAAACTCAAGTTCAAATGTTTCTACTTTTTGAGTTAAAACACTGAAACAGAATGTAAATTTCTTACGCGAACAATACATGTTTTAACTACAAGTAACGGTACAGCACACTGATCAAAGCAGAAATATGTATATAAGCTTCAACACAGTATGAAAATGACTGATTTCGAGAATCAACTTTCAATAACAATACCATATGCTTGGAACATGTTGCACATACTATAGAGTGGGGAACCAGTTAGCATAACAAGTATAAGAACAATGTGTGCGGTTAACAACAAAAAAATTCATAGGCACACAATTCTTTAGGGAGCCACTGTTTCGAAACCTGCAGTAACACAGGTTTTTATTTCGCCTTCAATCGTCACTCAGTATCAGTACATGTACGTCGTACATAAAGAGTTGAATAGTCTATTGCATCTTTCACTAACCTTAGATTTCAATAATTTGATTAGATTTGTTTGTGTGAAAATAACTGAGGCTCCCGAATGCTTGACTACATTCCAAACTAAATCTAAAGAAGCATCTAAACTGGGAGCATTCGGACGAAAGTAAACATTAGGAAAGCTCCCAGTACCAGAAGAGAGTTGTCCAGCACTGCCGCCAACAGCCGAACTTCCATTGCAACCTCCAGGACTTGAACTTCCCAAACCTAATAAACTTAGACCGGATGTTGACCCAGAACCAGGTGGTCCAGATAATAATCCAATCGGACTAGAGCCACTTGTACCAGCACCAGGTGTACTAGGAGAAGAGTCTATTCGAGGTGGACGAACAGGTACAGGAATTGCACCAATAAGAAGACATGCATAAAATGCACAAATAAGCTCAGTACCTGAATAAATGCAAGAGAAAAGTAGAATAAGGAAAGAAAGCATAATAGATAAGATAACCACTGATAAATATTATTTTATGTAAGGAAAAGTTCATGCTCAACCTGGGATGAACAATCGATAAATACAGGTTCGAATTCAAGAATAAAGCTGCAGGTGCAACGTATTGTGAACAATGGTAACATATGAACAAGGATATGTTACTGAATACATGGAACTTAAAGCATACAGTTTTATGGAATCACACCTGAACAAACGTTTCACCGTGGGGCAAAATCCAAGTAACAAGAGGACTATCAAAATAGACAGCAATTCGATGAAAAGCTCGATGAGGTACTAATACATAGGTCTTATTTATTGTGATGAAATGTAACAGTAACAAAATCTCATAGTTCAGTTTGTAATTTCGGACAATCTTAAAATTTTACGTTGAGGTATAAAATAAAGTAATGCATAATTTGATAAAGCATGCTTAGTAATAAAACATACAAGTAGTAATTGTGAAAGAACAGCTAGTAAGAGGATCTATCCATCAATACTAATAAAGTGATATATTGCATCATATATTGATATGAACTGCAATTTAGTAAAAATACTTGTAAATCAAGAAATAAAAGGATAAGTCAGCGAGGTGAACGAATACTTTAGTAATGGCATTTTCCAGAGATGAACACTTATTTATATGGCTCTAAATGTTATTTTCGGAAAAAACATTGCCCACAGACAGGAGAATTCAAATATGAGATGTACATACGAAAACGATATAAAATCTTTTGCTATAGTCTTAAACCAATTTTAATTTGTTCACTTCCTTTTCACTAAATACCACTAGAACAAATATTCTCCATCATCATCTACTAACCGTTACATGAAGAGTCGTCTCAAGATACTCATACGTATAACATCAATGGATACTTTTTATGATGCATGCGCAACCAGTTGATGAGTCTCAAATAGAAGGAAACGTGCGTCCTGGATTCCACTGTTAGCCACCATCCATCATTAAAATCAATAAGTACTCTCCTTGTAAATTTATTCACCGAAAAAGATCAGGTGAATTCGAAGAAGCATTTTTTTCTTATGAACAACTGTTCCAAAAGTTGTGACCAATATTTATTAGTTATCCATTTGTGTTAAACTTAAATAATCTGAACGAATACCATTGAGGGAAAGCAAACCACCAAAAGAGTCGTTATCTTTATAACAATTATTTTTGGCTGGTAAACTTCCAAATAAATAAAAGTTAAATTGAAGACGGAGAGATAGAGTGATTCATTTGACAGATAAACTGGAAGATTTTTTCGCCACAACGCAGTATTGTTTGAAAACTAAGAAGCGATAACTATTCATTGAGTGACCACTTAGAAGTTCTCAGTTAAACACTAACTACTGGGATCCATAATAGGATATCCAAGTCCCTTATTTAAGAATAGTAACTAAACTGCGTTTTCAACTAGAAACTTTATGAATGATAGTCAGAACCCCAGATCAAAAAGTCACAGATTCGAAATAAACTCAAGTAAATATTAGCTTAGTGGACTACGAGTCAAACACTAAATCTGGCGATAATGCCTTGACATGCAGAACAAAATGGCTCATGTAAGTCGGGTGCAGGCTTCAGGAAGTACAAATCATGTGTAGACCAAATTGCAACCCTTCGCATCATCATAGAACAGAGTATAGAATGGCAATCAGCTCTCTACCTCAACTTCATCGACTTTGAGAAGGCTTTGACAGCGTCGACCGAGAAGTAATTTGGAAACTGCTTCATTACTACGGAGTACCGCAAACCTTTATCCGCCTCATTCAACAACTATATGAAGATGCCACATGCCAGCCAAGTATTTCACAATGGGAAGCTCAGTGATGCTTTTGAAGTGAAGACAGGAGTGAAACAAGGTTGCATACTATCCCCCTTGATATTCCTGATTGTGGTCGACTGGACTGGATCATGCAGCAAACAGTGGGCAGCGAGAAGAGGGGGATACGCTGGCTAGACTGTGGAAAAGAACCTAGAAGACTTGGATTTCGCCGATGACTTGTGCCTGATGTCACATAAACTTGAAGATCTGCAGGCAAAAACTAACAAGTTGACAGAAGAGGCAACGAAGACGGGACTTCAAGTGAATATAGAGAAGACAGAGGTGATGAAGATACCCAACCAACAACACCACCAGCAACAACGACAACAAACTCCAGTCACCATGAACGGGAGAAACTTAAAGGAAGTAACCTCCTTCACCTATCTAGGAAGCACTGTTTCAACTACAGGCGGGACGGACGAGGATGTCAAAGTCAGAATCGGAAAAGCAAGACAGGCGTTCATTAGCCTGAAACCAGTGTGGAGATCTTCTGCACTCAGCATGTGGAACAAGATACGGATTTTCAACACCAACGTCAAGTCAGTGCTTCTATATGGTTCAGAGACTTGGCGCGTCACGAAAGGGATTTCCAAGAAACTACAGACATTCATTAACAACTGCTTACGCTTGCTACTAAAGATCAGATGGCCAGACAGAATAAGCAACTAGGAACTCTAGCTGGCAACGAAACAACCAAGAACCTATCACCCAACAAATATGCAGGAGGAAGTGGAGATGGATTGGACATACACTGAGAAGGCCGACTGGGGACATCACGCGTCAGGCCAAGCCCTCGAGTGGAATTCCCATGGGAAGCGACGAGTTGGACGTCCAAGGGTGACATGGAGGAGATGGTGCGAGGAGGAAATGAGAGCTTCTGGGCTGTCGTGGAACCAGGTTCAAAAGATCTCAGAGAACAGAGTGCACTGCAGACGTGCTACTGAAGCCCTATGTTCCACTAGGAACCCAAGGGACTAATAATAATAATAATAAGTCGGGTGTCTACAACACCATTCTAGTGTCGTTATGATTTTCGAGTATCATATCACGCTCATGTGCATGAATTATAATAGATAATCACCACTATAACAATATCATTTTAATATAAGAATAATATAAAATACCCAAGAAGACAGTAACAAGCAAGTAACGAGACACTAAACTTACCTGGGGGATAAAGCAATGCTACAATCGTACCAACTTGAGCTTTCCCTTTTTCCTTTAACTGAGTTGCCAGTTTTTCTGAACGACGTAGAAGTTGGATACAGGTGAGTGTTGAAGCTTCTTGCCCCTTGATATTATACACTGTAAATAATCTGTCATCTGGAGTGTGATTTGCTCTGTGAATAAGAATCTCAGTTAACAGCTCAAACTAAACACAAAACAAAAAAGAGGACAAATTCGACAAATTTTTAATCAGGATTAAAAGTGAATGTTTCATATGAAGGTTGATCAAAAAACACTTATGACCTGAAGATGGTGTGCAATTTGACGGATTGAATAAAACATAACCTTGCACAAAAGTGCATTCATTGGTTCAAGCTGCTACAGGTGAAAATATCAAACAGTCAACATCAACATAAGAACAGGAGTATATTTGTAACGATAGAAGTTGTCAATGAAACAGAAGAGAAAAATACGAAAGTCACAAAAAAAACATAAGAGCAGAATAGTAGAGTAGGACAAATAATGAAACGTGGCATTCACAGTTACGATGAAAACCATGTGTGAATGTATCTATACTATTGTATTGATCCTTAGCTACATCTTCAAGCAATGTCGGCTGTCATACGAATAGCGACTTGTAAACGTACATTTCGATTGACAGTCCAGACCAACCACCAGAGACTTCATGAACTGACAACACCTTTAGGTCACGTTATTCTTAGATTTTTGTCTATACAAACCGCCAAAATCAACACAATGTCGTAGCAGACAGTGAATAAACATGCATAACACATGAGCGAACTACCAATGCAAGTGAAATTTTAGAACTTTATCCATTTATTTATCATACTTACCGGTGAACAAAATATGCCATACATCTTGACCTAAAGGAAGCAATCAAATCTATCCACTAAGAAAAGTTGTGGCAGTGTCCAGCTATGAATAGTGTATAGAGCAAGTGTGCAATGCAAATTCAATCGTGTAAGTGCTTATGCAAAGTTATCATCTGAAGCAAATACAATCAGTGGTGTCTTCAAGAATGTCTACTGTTATCAATCCTGTCCAACACTATTCCTGGAAGTACTACTGGTCATATCACTACGTACCTCCGACCACAAGGATTGACTTATTCACAAAACGGCATCGTCTTGACTTAGAGTATGCATGCAACACATACTCGCTACGCAAAGACGACAAAAGCACACCCTTAACATAAATCTGAGTATTTTTCGCCTGTCAAATGTACGACTATGCTTTAGGACTAGTCTATATTTAATCCCACTCTAAGGATAGGGAGTGAAATGGTAGACCGCGCTAACCGATTCGCTTACTTGAGGTGATGAAATAACTAAAATGCGTTGGTTAAAGACGAAATGTCAAGTGGGATATAGAAGACTCGCTCGATATTAACCCACTCACGTCACCTCTGGTTTCGGTAAGGGGCCCGACTACCTGTTAAAAGACGAGCATACAGCACCGCAGTTCACCATGTTCCATTACACGCCCGTGAGACATAGCCCTTGAAGTCATAAAACAGTAACGGACTACACGTTTTTAACCACAAGTATCTTCGCACCACTGCTCGACAGAGCGAGAGTCACCAACTGAGTAAAATCGAGTTAGGTGGAGACTACTAAGGAACGCAAATCAGTCAAGGAAATCATCAACATTCACCCCTTGAGGTGACCTGGATATGTATTGAGCATGCCGAGCCACCAACCACCTGGACGTGAAGTGTTAGCTGATATGAGATTCGGTTGGAAGAAAGCTCAAGGTGGCTGAACCAAGATCCGTGATCATACCATAAAGTATCAATTGTTGGTGTCAGTCATGTAAGTACATGTAGAACATCTGACTGGGATCCTCGAGATAATGGAAATAAATGGTTTGAGACTCTTGGTGAAATGGCTGAAACGCTGTCACAATAGTACAAATTCACTCACTGCTTGACATATTCCGAAGTCTGGCGATTCTCACTAACCATCAAATTTTAATTTTTTCCTACGGTGACTTTTATCTGCTTTAATATCACTTTTTCTATGCAGTTGTCCATTGCATGCCGCTGTAAAGTTTAGCAACTTGAACTGACAAATTACTGTCTTTCCAGTGTTATAATCCCAATTACCGAAACCCTTTTCCCCCTGAGTTACCCTTTTTCTCCTCACTATGTTAATCTCTTCGGTGTTCGCTACTCGCACTTCTGATTGTAATAAAAGCCTGCAGGAATTCGTTCACATGCAAGCAATAATTCAGAAAAAGCTGTTGGTATACACAATTATTTTCAGAATATTTTTAAGGTTCATTACAGTTTTAAACCAATCTTACAACAGACTGTATCATAATCGCTACATATTGTTCATCTGATCGAAAGACCTGCCTTCCTAACTTATAACTCTGAATCTTACCTACATATTAGCTGCCCCTCACATATAATATGCTACAAAGGTACCTATGATCGAAAACTTAGAACTTGTGCAATACAGTTTTTCTTTTACAGAGAGACACCCGAAGATGGCGTCATTTGGAGAACAAAAAAAGGTCATTCCTATTCAAGGTAAGATTTCGGCAACAACCAACTCATCAACGCTGGTACAATTTGTAAAGTAATCAAAATGGTTCACACATTTCGCCACATCACTCTCCATCCGGGAACTGACAGTTAGTACGGACTAACTAGTCCTTTGGATTCATAGGATATCTGGTAGTTGAAAACTGTAGTTAGTCATAGGGTTCTAAAGACTAAATTTCTTGATGTATTAACAGTATTTATCCCAAATTAATCTCTTGCCTCCTTTCAAATCCACCACTGCAATAATTGAGCAAGTTCTCATTGTGTTTCCGAAAAATATTAACTTGACACAGTATAAGCCTCCAAGAACTGTGCCATAAAACAATATAACGAAAAAATGTAAAAAAAAGACCGAAGGGAAAACGTAAACCGATTATGAAAAAGCACATTTGAAGAAGTATTTTTTTTACTATCACTCTACTTTTAGACAGAAGAAAAAATGGGAAAGCTACAGCCTTTCGTTGCCGGTTCCAATTCTGAGACAGCGGATAATATGAAAGACCACAAAGTTAGTGGATCTTGGGAGTCATAAGGTATCAACATATGCCAAACCTACACAAACATTCTTCATGCCAAGGTGCTAGGTCGTACATGGACCACTTCCCTGGCTTTCCCATCAAATCATAAGGCAAGCACACAGTACAGGAGCCAGAGGGATAGAACAAGCAACACATTCCTGAGTCAACCAAGACATGGCACCAGTCGATGATGTCGCTGGCTGTTAGTCTGAATCGTGTAGGGAGATGTGGACTACCTGGCGGCGGTCCCGGAAACGATAGGAATTAGTGGTTGAGGACTGTTGGCGACATAGATAAAAATCGTCCACAGTGGCACAAATGTATTAACTGTTTGACGTCTTTGAAAACTTGAATATTTTCACTAACCTTTATCTTCAAACTGTTTATTCTGTCACACAGCTGTGTCTGCTACTGTGAAGTGTAGCGACGTAATATGCTGATTTTATCTGTCTATCTGAGTTACCAAACCCAGTGTTTGAAGATATCAGTCAATGATTTATGATCTACATCAAGTTCAAATGTACACTGCTGCACCTCAGAATTACCGACATAATACTGAGACCTATATACATGAGGCATAAGCCTAGTATATAGACAGACGTATCGCACCTAGCAAAGAAGCACGTACAGTCGAAAATATTTAAATGGATTTTCGCATCACACTCTTAAGTATAAATCATTAAACCATATCAGAAACTTCTTAATTCTCCAGAGAGGCACGCAAGTGAATTGGTATCCAAAAATATGAATACTAAAACTTTACAGAATATTTCCTTGATTTATCTAGTTCCTTACAAAGCGAGTACCACATTGATCAGTCTCGTTTATTTTACTTTGGTAATGCTTCTCACAAAACCTAGGTGTCACTTGTTTCTTTCTCTCCTTAATGTGACGACCATATGCAAAATCCTACAGTTGAATTGGTGAACGGTTCTGACAGTTAGGAGGTGTTTCATGTACAAGAATAATCTACAATGTTATCCGAAATGATGAAGATGAATACAAATATTCTCAAACCGTTTCTGCAGTAAAATGAAAACGAATGGAAAGGGTTTTAGGCTCATCCGATACATTCGCAGATGTGATATGTGACACGGAGAAAAAGCGGGGCAGAATGGAAAATGATCTGCAAGTTATAGTCTGTGAAACGGGACTGTTTATAATCTACTGTAAACACATGCTACCAGGCATCTATGAAATATTCCACTTTCAATGTGACCACTAGTAGATCAGCAGTAAATACAGAATTAACGTTTTGCAACCAATTCAAAACCGTTGGCCTAAGCGAATGCTTTGTATTTATTAACTTCACTTTATTCTAGTCATCGTCATGCATAATCCATTCTTCAATTCAATCCTAGGTGATTTAGCAACATAAAGGGATTTCCTCGAAGATTCTCCACCTATTTGATCTAAGAGATGTGAGTAGCAAAAATTACAAAAACACGATAGTGACTGGTAGCAGCTTCAAAATGTATTAGTATAAAATTAGTTGAATGAATAATTATTTCTTGATTTTTCCTAAAATATATTTGTTCTCAAATTTAGTGGAATATGTAGTTTAATATTCTACTGAGTTTTTAGGTATTAACATTTTTGTTCACTTTGGTTAAGACAGCAGGAAACAGCATGTACGTTAATTCCAAATACAATAAGGACACACTACGACTCAAAAAAAGTTTTATACCCAACTGTTTTGAAATGAAACACCATAGTGTATAACTTACACCATTTTCAGGAGCCGTTGATGTTGAGTTAGAAGATGGAGATGGACCTATAGGTCGACCGCGTGCCTCAGCAAGACGCACTCCTTGAACAACCTGACCGACCATCATAGCGGAAGGTCCAACCAAACTAGGCCTTAGCTGTCGAGGCTGAGGTAAGTTTTGTATAGCAGAATGAGGACAGAGCAGTAATGCTGTAGGATGTAGATGACCTTCAGAGAAGAGTTTTTTTACAGAATGACAATTTATCCCACCAAAAGGGGTCTGTGGAAAGAAATAAGCAAACTAACTGTTATATTAAAAAAATCTAATAAATCACCATAAAAATGCTTAATTTTAATGTAAACAACTCTAAACAGGATTAATTCAACCGATCAGCCTATATGAAGAGAACGAAAGCGATTTTGCCATAGCTGGTACTGGCAACATGTGTTATATAACAATAACCACTTGCTTTATTGTGATGGTTTAGGCAGTCGATTTCTGACCAGTAATTTGGAGGTTTAGTCCACCACAAAGGAAAGTTAAGGCCTAGTACACCCATGAAAACATGACTTTTCAGTTAAATCCATGTAATTATTTTTTCCTTAGTCGCTAATTAGAGTGGGTTAAGAAACGTCGACGCCACCAAAAGAAGGCAGTAAACTATTATTTTCAAAAGAATAGACGCAACGTTGCGGAAACCTTCAAGACCTTCGATGAAAGACCTCAAAACTGATATTCTTCAAAAGGGGAAACACTTTACTATCGTCATCTTATTGACATTGCCAGAAAACAAAAAGCTTTTACTTAAAAATACGAGTTCTTTAGTGGTAAGTAGAATTTAAATCGCAAATGAATCCAGATAGATAGATAAAGTAGCACTTCGCGCTAAAATACTGCGGTTTAAGTTATCCCCCCTCCTCTGATGCCAGATCATGGACAGAAAACGTATCAAGGATTTTCTATAGAATAATATCAATGAACAGAAATAAAATGATACAGGAATTAAGAATTTTACATCTAAAAGAGAAGACACAGAGCGAATGTGTCTGTCTCATGGTAACCGAATTTTAAGCAGTTACTGGCTGTTTGTTTTTGATCAGAGATTCACATTCAAGTTATAAAGAACAGTCAAACAGTAAAATTGTAGATACAAAATGAATAGCTGAAAGCAATCTCCTATGGAATGCTGCATCACCTTCAATATACTCTACATTCCTTCATGCAGAAGAAAACACGAGAATCAGTACTTTCTTCCGCACGGCTAATAGTCCATAATTTAGAACAAATGAATTTGATGAATTTTAACTGAAAGAGTGCACAATGTCACAATGGTCTAAATTTTAATTACTCATCCTGTTACTGAGATAATAGTAGTGTGAAAAATCTCCCACGAAAAAACTTCCATCAACAGAAGAAACAAACTGTCAACAAAAAAAGTAATTTCCATCCACTAAGTTCCACTTAGCTTTAACAGTGATAAAGCGACAAACAAAACCATGTATATTTATGCAAAAAGAAATCATATCAACTGACAGAGTGGTATCGACAAAGATAAATGAAGCACTCATGCACATATTTTTGTTTAGATAATAAGTAAAAGTTTAGATACCGATTAGTTGAAAATGTCTAATGAATCAACGAAAATCAATATAAGGGGACTAATAAATTTCTGCTACAACTAGAGGGACGACGACTACAAATATATCTAATACATCCAAAGGAGAGAGAAAGTCAGAGAAAGCGGAAAATAATCTTTAACATTTCTGAATCATCGATAGCGGCCGCTAGACTAAATAATTCTATATTGTGTTGTATTGTTTTGATGTTGGCTATGTTTCAGAGAAAAGAAGCAAAACGGAAACCTAAATTTTACAGCCATGAGTACTAGTTAACATGACACGCTCATAAAGGCAAGAGATGGTAATTTCTCAGTTAGACTTCAGTAGGAAGCATGCAGAAATGGGTTCAGAAGCCATATAAACACCTAAATATTAAAGTATATGGCAGTATACAACCTGTAACAGTGGTGTATCCATACCAGATCTTAAATTTTGGAAAAAATAAAAAAAGAATAAATCAGTTTCAGATCTTAATCACACTAATTTTCTTCTATCGGCCCGTTTCGCAACCTCGTCCATCTAACCAACACTAAAACAACACATGAAATAATTTTCAAATTTCACTAACAATAAACTACGATATTATCCAGCGATAGTGATTCACTAATGAATGAATGAATGGTAAAATTCAGTGGTTGCATCAGTCCACGGAAGTGCAGATTTCTAGTCAAATATGATAGAACACTGAAAAAGTAAATACCATATAGCACTACAATAATAAGGGTCAAATGTTGTCAAACACAAGAAATGCCGAAACATGAATAGAGAAATAGTTCAGATTATGAGCATAATGATAGAAACAAGAAAAAAAAATACATAGCCCACCTTTGGTAGTGTATTTTGATGCACTAGAGCTAAACAATAAACACTGACTTGGTGAATACTGTCAACGGCTTGGAGTACAAGAGACATCCATGTGAATGCAGCTTCATCTGAATAACCTTGCCTTAGCTCGGCTACAATGACTAGACGTTCATCTTTCAACAGATCCACCGAGAAAACTGCAATTCTGTCAGTTTATGTTTTTTTTCAAAAAAAAACAAAAAAAATCTTTAACATGACATTCAAATAGTTTAAGTAACTTTATTGTTGAAAATAACTGGGAATATCTGTGGTTTCACAAACCTGTATTGTTGATAGGGAATGGCAACCGAAGGTCAAATGAAAACCTGAGTAGCAGTTGAACACTAACCAGCGGCCAGTGAATTACCGACCTGCGGCGTTACGAAATGAGCTATGACATCTTTTGTAAGCTACTCATAAGATTAATAGAAAAATAACGAGACCCTTTCAGCGATAACTAATCGTTAATTTGCTATTTCCGAGTAAAGAAAATCCATAACAATTAAGTTTTGAGGTGAAAAAAAGTTGACTCCTGCACCACACTAGGCAATAAAAAACATGTACCTTAACAAGTAAGTGGAGATTGAAGTGATGAACTGAGACAATTTTTATGAAGGCCGCGATACCAACTAGCCACCTAATTTACGGTAAGTGGAGTGGAGTTAAAATGCCCAACCCTTTGGTTAAAAAGCGAGTAGTGTCAAATCTAATCCTATAAAGCAGAATCACAAAGATCAACAAATTGAATAACAGTGGGCTTCTAGTGAGATAAACGCTAATACCTTGAAGTCATGCCTTCCAAGGAAACGATACTGGCAGATCCCGTGAAAATATAACTTAATAACACCATTTTAGATAACTGTTCCTTTATAACTAGTGGTAACTGAGACTTCATATCGACTAGCTTACACTGAAGACGGAATCACTTTCATAAAACCAATCATAATAAAAAAGAAGTGCTATAAAAGTTACGGATACATTCCAAAGGTTGTTTATTTTTACATACCGTCCTCTGTATATAATTTTTGTCGGTTGAACAGCAAGAACCGTTGCAATGATATCATCAGCATTATGACGTCTACTGGCAATCGTCATTAGACCATCAATACAACCGGAGATAAATATGAGTCCACCCTGAAATTAAGTAAAAAGCGTTTTTTTCTAAATGGAACGATAAAATTCTTACTAAGTATTAAGTACGAAGGGACAATATAACCTGAACAAAATAACATATATTTAGGTTGAAAAACGGAATATACGTGAAGCAACGAATATCATATAACTAGCAATAGCAAACACAAATAATGAATGATACTAACAAAATGAAACTGGAAGTAACAAATACGAGTGTAATAAAATAAAAATAATAATTAACGGAGATACCACACACTAGAGAACCGTGTCCAACCAAGCTAGGACGCCTTGTGCTTTATAACTTCAGTAATCTAATCTACTAACCTTTCAATGAGAACAAAGAATCTAAGAAATAAAAAGTACATTACCACAGATAAAAAGAAATAGCCAAGTGGCGCTGAATTCCAAAACAACCTCACTTACAGAAGATGCTGGGCCAGGAAATCCAATGAACCCAGATCGTGTATATTTTTTAACACCAGTAGAGGAGCACACAGAAGTGCCATCTTCATGTATAGGCTCCACGTAAAAGTGTGCATCAGTCTGCCCACGTAGACCCCAATATCCAGAACCTGTATAATCCGCAGATAAGCATATCTCACCAACTTCATCTGTTTGACAAAGTACTGGCTTGGGACCCAATCGTATGACGACGGCTGAGGCTAAAGTGATAAAATGAATCAACCAAATAATAATAAGAATGCAAAACGTAAAAAAAACTCAGTAAAAAAGCAATTCAATAAGGATAATCAAAATCTATTCATAACAATGGTTACTATTCTTACCTCCTGGAAGAACTTGTCCGCAATCTTGTAAAGTAAGTGAAGTTAAGGAGTCCTCAGTATCGACACGTACAACACCATAGGTAAGACTATGAATAGATATAACTCCTCTTACTGAACTAGGTGCGGAGGATGACAGTGAATCAGAAAGTGAGTTTGTGCACATCTTTCCATTTACTGAATTCATCGCTGAACTAGTTTGATGAGGTGGACGACGTAAACATAGTGTCAAAGTTTCTGAACTCCCAGCAGAAGGACATATCGCTTCGGGACAAAATCCACGTGATCGAAATTTCTGTACGAAGGAATCACATGAGTTCAGAGACCCTGCCAAAAAGAAAAAGACAAAAATGATTAGAAACCAGCTTCCATTTTTGATATAAAATAGGGGGAAACTAATGAAAACATCTCGAGTTGTTGTAAAACAACTAGTTAGCCTATATACAACAAGTGATACTGGATACTGAGTAGCTATATGGCCATTTATTAGGTTCTCACTTATTTCACTGCTTGATTCAGGCAGTAACACGAATTTTCAAAAAAGGGCAATACTTCATGTCAAAACAACTTGTGGTTTGAAGTTTTCTGAGACGGAATATATTTGATAATGAATAACGACACACTTCATTAAATGAATAGTCCAAACCAAACCCCAGGAGCTTATCATATCTCTTGGTTATTTGAACTGACTAAATGCTCGAGTTAAAAGTTCTGAAGTGATTAATTTATTGAATCCCTTGACACGATTTTGAATATTTCTCAGAAAATGAAACAGCAAGGTCAACGTGTTGGTTTGTACTGGTTATTGTTACATAGATAATAGGTCACAAGATGATAAACGATACGATTGAAATCTAGCCCGCTTTCCAGTTTGGTAGGTGTCATAACTTTCCAACTTCTAGTGAGTTAAAACAAGATATATAAGCGAAAAAACTGCTGTCAATTAGATATCCTCAGGAATTGCTCAACACATATCTACTACGCAAAGCCAGTAAGCGTAATTATTCGATAAACGTTAACACTGATGCGAAATATGCTCTTGAGAATAATAAAAATAACGGTGAACGTTAGTTGGATATAGGAAGTCAGTATGAAACGCCAGACCCAGGTTTCTGGCTAGCTAGCACACGTCAGCAAGGCATATCTGCAAACTCAAAGAACTCATGACCCCTCTGAGATTCGAACCTATATCACTCAGTGGCTGCAGTCACAGATGTTACAACTGAGCTATTTTGACTACGATTGACTTCCTGTCACTGAAGTGTAACCAATTTCATGTTGTCTAGTCTTCGGTGTTTACCGAATTCGATTGATCATTTTGCGATGTGACCAGAAAGTACCTAACCTAGCTCCGAGAAATCCTCCCGATTGCCTTCATTCAACTAACCCCCATCATAGTGCACTGCGATGGTGAATCTCCTAGCCTGGTTGAGACATTTCAAAATGGTAGATAGAATTCGGTCAGGACGTAGGACTACACAACATAAAAATGATTGCTATCCAATGACCAATCAATGCATTTGTATGAAAGCTGACATGTTGGTTGGTCGGTGAAGACTAAGTTACTTCCCAGAACTTACGTCATATTTCATTTATCATCTGGTCAAAAATCTTTTTGCGATGTTTTCTGGTGAGTGTATAGCTGACTGATTAAGATAATCGTTTTCTCAACAAGTATTATCTATCATTTTTGGTCATATCGCAAAATGATCAATCGAATTCGGTAAACACCGAAGACTAGACAACATGAAATTGGTTACACTTCAGTGACAGGAGGTCAATCGTAGTCAAAATAGCTCAGTTGTAACATCTGTGACTGCAGCCACTGAGTGATATAGGTTCGAATCTCAGAGGGGTCATGAGTTCTTTGAGTTTGCAGATATGCCTTGCTGACGTGTGCTAGCCATCACGACACCTAGGTCCAAGGTTCCCAGGTCATTACCTTCAACCGACTTACATTTAAATACAACCTATAGATATGGCTAAACTATAGGACATCCTACCGAATATCAATAAACTTCATTTTCACATAGAAAATTTTAATAATGTGTCAATCACAATAACAGCCTAATCAGAAGGTTGTAAAATGACTATCCACATAGCTATGAATAAAGTCATCCATCAGTTGGATAATTTTTTTAATGAAAAGCGTCAAATGCGTAGGTGAACAGAAAAGGACAGGCAGCCTCGTTCATCGATATTTAATAAAAAAAATATGCGTTCATCAAATGTGAATAAGTAAAATGTCAGTCAAATCATTTTTTCTTCCATCTAGTGGCTAAATACATAATAATAGTTTAGAAAATTAGTTTAAAAAAAAGAAAAATGGCTAGTAGTTAGGTTACTAATGTGTTTTATGGTATGCCATGAACATGCAGCATGTAGTGATGAAGTTTTAACTTTGTAAACAAGGCTCTTTAGAAAATGATAAGACTGTAAAAACCATAGTGGACAAAAAGTACAAGTTAAATATAAACCACATAGCCACTGCTGTATCGGAGTTGCGACTCACTGGTTGATGTAGTCGATGGGTCATGGGTTCCCATTCAGCTCCATTTGCCGAGGTATAGGCAGCTAGGTAGTAATCATACATGTAGCTTATCGTCGACTGCATGAGCGTGTATGCTATCACACATTGGTCTCCTTCTATCGTTGTAGAAAGTAATATTATATATGAACACGGAAATGCATATTTCACTGGCGAAATGGTTGTCATGGTATTCGTATAGTGGCGGCAGTGTGAAAACAGTGACTATAAAATTATTACTTCAGGAAGGCGACACAAAACAGCTTGAATATTTTACTTTCAACTTATTTGTTTTTATCGATATGAATACAGTATTTGCGTAGCTTGACATCCGTTACCAATGATTATTTCAGTGATATTACGTGACAAATCAAAGTTACATGACTGATTACCAGAAGCAGGGATTTCTAGGACTAGACATTCTTTGAATCAATGAAGTAAGCATATCTATTACGTAAAGAGAAGCAAACCATTTTGCCTCATGACATAAATAGACGAACTGTCCTCAGATTCTTTTGGCTCCGACTAAAATGTATGTACAAATTCAACTATGAGGGAAAAGGATTGCCTTTTCATGTTCTAAGACAAAGGATAATGCATAGCTGTTGAAATAACAGGATTTGATGAGTCAGTTATTATAAAAGACAGATGAAGGCAGTTAAACAAGTACAATAAATGAATATTACAGTTCGAAGGTATGCACTGTAAAGTCTCCGAAGTAAAAAATGATAAGGTTTTGAATCCCATAAGTAGTGTGGAACAGTTGAAGACCACGGGGAGGAAGCTTTCTGATACGTTAGGGGATCCGAATACCGCTTGTGACTGAGGATTTACAAGCATATAACGCATTAGCATCTAAATCACTTGATTACCCCATTAAATACCTTAACCGATGTAGTACGTAAGAAAAAGTATTGAGTAAAACCAGTTGGTACATTATTACGAAGTGAAATTACGCGAAAAACTGTTGCTAATGGGTAAGTTATGAAAACAATGCTTCCTTTTCAATGGCTTCACTTGCAAGTAAAAAGACAATAGGTACCTGCATAAATTTACTAGGCAGAATGTATTGCCTTCTTTGAACACAATAAAACAGTAATCTTATAGTGATGATGGATAGTGGTTAGCAGTGGAATCCAGGATGTGCGTTATATCCTGTTTGGGACTCGTCAGATGGATTTACCCACCTACCAGTGAGCGGTGTTGTTTCCACTAAGATTAGAACCAGAGAATGATCGCTTCAAAAGCCAGAGAGTTATCCACTAAGCCAAGACAGCCACTCCTCGTGGGATGGGTATATATATAGAGAGAGACCGATCAATTTGGTCCAATCAACGACAGGATAATAGAAGCAACAACGTTTGAAAAACAAAGCAATTTTTATGATCTAATGAAGCAGCAGCATTAGTCATAGATCTTACTTAGAACCAAAAAAATGTGCATCATACTCACATGGATTTGAACCATCTGCAACTAAAAGCATGCGCAGTGAAGATAAATTGACATTCGGATGATCACGTTCAGCTAACAATGCCCAATGCATATCACGACTTTTTACAACAGCAACCGTGGCTAAACAAAGTTTTCGAAAAAAAGGAGAAATATTTTAAAGAATGTTACTACATAGTAGAAAATAAATTAATGGATTATAGTATGAGAAAAATATTAACGTGAAAAACAGAAGACAGAACAATAAATGTCACAAGTATCACAAACAAATCAGAGCAAAGTCACTGCTCAAAGAAGATCAAATGATTGTTGCTAGATTAAAGTGTACGTTAAAAATAGAATTACAAAAATCTTCCAGAGACTGGAACAACCATATTAGCTAGTTTCATTGAACTGAGTGTGCTGGATTTATTTATTTGAGCCGATTGAATGCATATTCCATTGTGGTGCAGAAAAGATAAGTACTACTAACATACACAAACAGGTAGATAAAAATAAACTTTGATGCGGCTAACAAGTGATACTGTTTTTGGAAAACTTGTGTGAAACTCATATTAATACATATATATAGATATATTTTATTTACCACTTTCAAAGCCTTTTTCTTTGCAGATCATTTTTCAAGGGAATTTTACGGCAAGTGTTGCAAGTTATGACTCTTCTCTTGTGTTTATATATTTCCCTTTTAGATATTCTACACATTTTATATTGTAGAGACAAAAAACCTTCATCGGGAAGGAAAAAAATAAGCGACGACCACAGCCTAGTTGTACATGATAATTATTACTCAGTACAAATGTGATTATACTTTTGATAATCACACTGAGTAAAATACGGTAAAGAATAACTTTTCAACTAGACAGGTGATATATGGATGGACATACGTAGAGATGTGCAACTACATGAGAAACTGAAGGGCGATAGCAACCTTAAGCGGCCTGGTAAGCCATTAAAAGCACAAACATCATATCTAGAGAAAATCAACAAAAGAAACACAATGTGGATAAAATATGAGAAATTCCAGGAAAAAAGAATACCACTCAAATAACAACAAAATAAGGAACAGTGGGTACTTCATTACAGTCAGCTTTTCAGCTGTATCACGTTTCGGTCTTTGCAGTCGTATATTAGTGAATCTAACACTTTTCTTCATACAATATAACAACATATTATTGTGAAGTTACGATTCATTGGTACTGGCATTCAACTTCCAGCCGACGGGTTCACCCGTCGAGGTTTGAACAACAAAGTAGTACTACCAGGCCTCAAACAATAGGTATCGCTCATTACCTGCGCCAACACTTAGTGGAGATAGTAACAAATCTCAACAAGATGGATCCAGAGTTTCCTCATCAAACGTTCCCCAATTACAACTGAATACAAAAAATTGATATTTGCTAAATATTCATTGTTTCCAGTATTTCACTGTTGAACTTTTAATCAGCAACAAATAACAAACTCAACCAAATATTTGCAATCTTCCTGTGAACAAAAATATGGTCGATATAAAAATTAGACCATCTCCTATCTTACCTACCATGCACATTAACGCACAAGCGGTACAAACAAATATGTGATCAGTTTCATACACAAGTAATTATAAAACTGATGTGTACAGTATATTTATTCAGTTTCAAATATTAATTTGTGTGGTGGCATTCGTCAGTCGGAGAACCAGTGAGAATCTGGGAGCACTGGACAGCTGTTGATCCTAGTATGGGACTCAGTAGTACAAACCCCGACCCGGATGGGGATCGAACTCAGGACCTTCACGTTTCACAGTGAACGCATTAACCATTCAGCCACTGGGTCGAAGCTCAATAATTCTCAGTTTCCTACCTCTGTCAGTTCACAACATAACGTGACTATCATTCAACGTTTTCAGTCTGCACCTGCTTCCGTTCCAACTGGTTGACACCACAAGTCACGACTTCTCATTAGAACTTCAAGATGGGTATCCCGAAGTAGTAAACTGTGAACCTTTGAGCTCTAACCCAGTGGTTGAATGGTTAACGCGTCCACTGTGAAACATGAAGGTCTTGAGTTCAATCCACACCCGGGTCGTGAGTGTGTACTGCTGAGTCCCATACTAGGATGAAACAGCTGTCCAGTGCTCCTAGGCTTTCAGCAGTTCTACAACTAATGCATGTATTTGTACAGTTCCCAAGTGTCGATTCCACTTGTCACGGAGACTTCAGCTATGACGCTTACATTTTCTTAAACGGCTACGGTCAAACATCACATGATTTATTCATTAGCACCGCATTTTGCTCTGGCCGGTAGTTCCTTTTTCGAACTTAAAACTTCAAGATACCATAAAAACAACTTGGACATACAAAAGCACAATGGTAAGAAATAGTAATGATGGAGTAAAAAGGAAGTTTGATTCTAGAAAAAAAACTTCATTACATACTAACAAGTTCTTTTCTTATCTAATTAATCAGTTTCGTAAGAACAAACTGAAAATGAAGTACCTCGTGTATGTGTGCAAAAACCAAATTGAAATCCTTTTAGTGTTAGAGGAAAATGATGTATTTATAACCGCAAAATATTGTACTTAATTTCGCATTACACCAAGACTAAGAATACTTCCAATTCAAACAGTTGCACAGACATTTTTCTAAAAACTCGAACTGATTTAGTTACGAACTTCACATAAAATTACAATCCATTTCGCACATACATAAATAATTTATGGAGAAAAGAGACCTGAACATCATAGTGACATTGACAAGTTTCTGCATAACCAAAAAAAAGACTTAAGAATGAAAAAACTCAGCTTACTTCCAACTGCACAAACAAAGACAACTTATGTCGGCTGTCTAAAATATTGATACGTTAATGATGGACACAATACCAATAAAAATTCAGTCATGACCATAATACAAGAAGTGACTTGGTAGTATCAGCTAGGTGCTTTACATACATAAGTTAATTTCTAAATAGTTTTTTAATTACAACCGAAAGGGGTTAGGTAAATATTGAAAATTCATAACTTGAGTATTAGTTAGTAGTATTCCAATAACAATATGTATGAAGTCACAATTACCTCGATATTTAGTAACCATGCGTAACCAAGAGCCCGGATCTATCTGCATGACTGAATACGGCACAAAAATTACGTGTAGTCCATTGAAGACACTCTAATAAGTAAAAAAAAATTAGGTGAAGATAAGTAGGAACACAAGTACAAAAAACAGTTAAGCACACAGACCATAGTAGATACTAGCCAAAAACACATAGACATGTAATGAAGAATAATCATTACTGATTAAGTCACCGAATTCCCCACACAAAAGCATATCAGAACAATTCAAAAGGTGAATTATTCAATAGATGTAATAGCAATAAGTTATTTAATGTAACCAGCGTAGAAAAACAATATGCCGTGATCAAGCGTGACTACAGTTTAAGTCATTATATGTTACTTTAGACATACTTAATCATGTACCTCTAGTTTTATGATATTTAATATATAAAGGAGGGTAATTCAATATCCGTGTGTGCAGAAATAGGAGTTTTTCCCAGGAGGCCGATTACGCAATAAGTAGCATTATGCTATTTTTACATCCCCCCCCCTTATTACTCTTTGTCCATTAATTAGATTAATTCAACTGAATAGTTAATACAATAAAACAACTGGTTATTAATTAGGTTATGCGAAATCATCCTATTTTATAAATGATATGACATATGCTATAATGTGTACTTTTAGTTAGTTGTTGTTAATGGTTGGTCTAGTAGCTACTAAACTCATTAAGTTCTTATCATTTTCTGTCTTAATTATTAATGTTGGTGTCTGGGGAAGGGAAGCATTCCTTGTCAACCAACAATCGCAAACTAACAGCATAATCCCACTAATATAGTTTTGTGCAGCTTCATGGACAAATGAACAGACAACCAAGTGCCATGAAGCAAAGAAGTACAATCATGAACAATATAAGTAGCTGGAAACAATACAGAGTAATCTGTAGATTCTGATGACAGGATCAAGGTGACACAAAAATAGGATGGTCGCTGTTTTGCTGGGGATCAAACTACCGAAAGGGTCGTCTAGTGATTAGATCACCCTAAAATAAATAGCGAAAGCAGCAGACAAACAAAATACGACAATAATTAAACAGTATTATTACGTACCGTTAAAACAGCATGCCATAAACCTGTTTGTCGTCGACAATCCACGACACAGACAACAACATCCTCTTCCGAATAATTACAAGCAACAGTCAATGCTCTACAGTGAGAAAGAGCTGCACGTCGACTTATCATGACACCATGTACACTGCCATCCTTACTAAATGTATACTGTAAGAGAAAATAAACATTAAAAAGTTCGTTTTATCCACTGTTGAACAGAATAAAGAAGTAAATTAACAACCTTCAACGCAAAAACCAAAATTCTAACAGCAAACTTGAAACATATGGCTTACAGTAACATGTATCCAAATGGTGAAGTTAAACAGCAATTGTCCACATAGAGTTATTTCCGCAAAAGTTCAAATCATGTCACGAACAAAATTCTTCCCACACCTTCACCTTCTTTTTCTACTTTATCAAATGTGTAACTGTGGTGCTCACATTTTTGTGCAAAATAAACTTTTTGGAAGAATTGAACAGCTGTTTAAATGTGAAAATAATGTCTACCACGATAACAGGACACCAATGCCGATATACCACATTAACTATACATAACAAAACTTTACAAGCTAGTTGGTCTGCTGGCAATTTAAATTATAACATAACTAAAGTGAAATAATAACGGGTCTGGGTAGAAATAAAGTATCACCTCGGTAATTGTGTAAGGGGTAGTATGCTACATATTGTATTTGATATCTCTACTAAGAAAAGAATTATTCAGGTACTCAGACAGAAGTAAGCAGAGGTGAAGAACGTGACTACCTGACTTTAGACTACCTCTGCTTAGAGACCATGAAGTTGAAATAGCGAAAACAAAGAATATCCACTAAAAAAATGTAATCAAAACTATTCTACTATATTGGAGGGAGAAACAGAATAAATTGTTCACGAAAAAATACATATTAGCGATGAAGTTCAGAATTTCAAAGAAACAGATGGAAGTAATAGCGTAAAAACAAACAAATTTGATTCATTAAGGTATGCCTCGTGATAACACAGAAAGAGTAAATTACTACGTGGAATAGAATATCAGAGCATGGATAAATGAGTGTGGCAGAAACTGTTGAGCAACTGAAGTGAGAGTTGAATTTAAAGCACATACACTTCTCTCCAGTGAATTCAATCTTTTAAATCCATGCAATCAGATAATGAAAGAAAAAAGAACGGAATGGAATGAACCACACTTATTGAGTTAACAAGATGAAGTAGAGACTAGAAGGGTTAACTACCACTCAGAACTAATAATTGACAGGGCGAAAGGTTATGTGTATATAGGTTTTCGTGTGTGAATTAGCCAATCTTATAGGGTTACATCTTGAAGCAAGATTTCAGTTTTTACTCAAATATAAATTTATCGAAACGATGTTACCATTGGAGTTATGAAAAGCAGTTAAATTTCCAAACAAACTCCTAACATTAACTTTTATATTTGAGTCGCAATAACGTTATGTGATGAAGTTGAAGTTTGATGAGACCTAATCACTGCCATGTCCATAAAGCTTCATATACCTAACGCAGTTTTGATTACAAGTCACTAATATGTTTATGTCTGCTACTCAAAAGGTGTGACATAGGTGCTGAAAGTTTCTGGAACATGCACGAAATAGAACAACACAAAATACGCTAACAATAGTAATATTATACAACAGTAAAAAGAATTAGGACGAACTTTCATTGAAGTGATCCCCTTGCTTTAGAGGCTTTCCACTGCAAAAATATACTACAAAAGATGTGAAAATTTAGGTTAGCATCAAAGAATAAGGCAAGTATAAACCCTTTAACCTTGCCTAATTAACTAGTATACTAGCTGGTCCAAACCCCGGATAAAGAGGGAAGGAGATACGACTAGCAACCCAACCCCATAAAACCAATGCAATAGCTGACAAAACTTCAAAGGACAAAAAAAATATTTTAAAAAAGTAAACTTATCGACGAGACGAAATGGCGCCAGTTGGTGAAAGCCTTCGGGAAGACAATTGACCGATGCATCTTCTCTTCCCTCGATGAGAGCAAAAGTAAAAACATGGGGACATGGAATGTCCGCGCCATGTATGAACTTATCAAGGCTGCCCAGATTGTAAAGGAGATGAGAAGGTAGAGCAGTGAAGTGCTAGGCTAGGAATCTGTGAAGGCAGGTGGAATGGAAGTGGATTCTCCAAACTGTCAACTGGAAAGTCAGCAATCTACTCCGATACTGTCACCCAAACGACAACCACGAGCACACTGAGAGAGAGGTTATCATGATGTCCCCAACAGCATCAAAGGCTGTCATATAGTGGGAACCAATCTCCTCCCGTATAAGGATCATGACAACAAGATTCAACTTAAAAGGAAGCAAAGTCACAATCCTTCAATGCTACGCACCAAAAATTATTCTGATCAAGAGAAGAAGGAGGAATTCTACAGACAACTGCAATCAGTAATAGACAAGACCCCGCCCAAGATGGCGACATCAAAATTCTAATGGGTGGGGGTGACATGAATGCCAAACTGGGAGCAGACAACACAGGAAGGGAACTCATCATGGGTCGAGAAGCACTTGGTGAAATGATGAATGAGAATGGAGAACTGTTTGGAGACTTCTGCGCATTCAACAATTTGGTGACTGGAGGCAGTGTGTACAAACATATGGATATTCACAAAGCGACATGAATTTCATCAGATGGACACACTACACTAAAAATCAGATCGACTTCACCTCAATGTGAAGAAAGTTGGGACGCAGCCAGCCTACTGGATACAAGATCAAGAAGGGGAGCAGATGTAGATTCACAACACTCACTATCTAGTCGAAGGAACCTACCTTCCAAATCAAGTAAAAAGCCTGCAAAGAAGTTGGTGATCGACCATAGTTCAAGTTCAACACCCAGAAACTGGGCTGAAGGACGAAACTACAAAAGACATCTTCACATCAGCTATCAGGACAAAATGGGAGATATTGAGCAACATTCCTGAAGAAACCTGATTCGGAGAACACTGGAACTCTTTGAAAATGTGAAAAAAAAACCTGCGTAACCGTGTTAGGAAGGAAGAAGAAAGAAGACAGGACAAGGAGTGGATCTCGACAAACATATGGAAGTTGATAGAGGAGTGAGAGGAAGATAGTGAGGCGGAAGATAAACCAGTGCAGTGCAGTTCAGGGATGAACAACGAAAAGAGGGACTGAACACAACGTATAAAACATTGGAAAAAGAGGTGAATAAGAGTGCATGAAAAGACAAAAGACACTTCTACGACACACTTGCAAGTGAAGCAGAATAGACTTCAGGCTGCTGGTAGGAGAGACAGAGACCTGACTAGGTTAATATCTGGTAGGGAATAGATCAACGCACACGAAACCAATGAGAAATAGTGAAGGAAACTTAGTTACCAAAAAGGAGAAACAAAGGAAACGATGAGCTGACCACATCGAAAAACTCTTGAATCTACCACCACCACCTGCAAGTCGTCCAGAAATACTATAAGCAACCGCAGAATTACCAGTGAACACAAGACCTCCAACAAAAGCAGACGTCCTGGACGCCGTAAAGTTTCCGAAATCCAAGAAAGCGGCAGGACCAGTTAGAATTCCACCAGAAGCATTAAAAGCAGACGCAGAGACAACAACGGACATGCTCACACCACACCACTACTGCAGAAGGTTTGGAAGGAAGTAAAGGTACCTGCTGATTAGGAGAAGGGCTACCTTGTCAAACTTTCAAAGAAGGGCGACCTAACTCTTTACGAGGACTGGCACCCACCCCAAGCAAAACATTCAGCCGCACCATCCTAGAGAGACAAAAAAATTCTCTGGATTCAAAACTGCGACCGGGACAGGCTGGCTGGCTGGCTTCAGGAAGTACAAATCATGTGTGGATCAAATTGTAACACAACGCTACACTACACATTATCATAGAACAGAGCATAGAATGACAGTCAACTCAACTCAACCTCAACTTCATCGACTTTGAAAAAGCCTTCGACAGCGTCGACCGAGAAGTAATTTGAGAGGCAGCTGTTTCAACACTGCGGTTTTAATACCACAAACCCTTATCAACCTCATTCAACAGCTACATGACAACACTACATGCCGAGTGATTCGCAATGGAAAGCTCAGTGATGCCTTTGAGGTGAAGACAGGGGAGAGACAAGGTTGCCGCCTACTATCACCGAGGATGTTCCCAATTGTGGTCGACTGGACTGGATCATGCAACAAACTGTGAGCTGTGAAAAGAGGGGTATACGCTGTCTGGCCAATGAAAGGACCCTAGAAAATTTGGATTTCGCCGTCGATGATGATCTATGTCTAATGTCTTGTCGCACAAACTCGAAGACCTATAAACGAAAACTAACAAGTTGACAGAAGAGACAGGGTAGTGAAGACGGGACTTCAGGTGAACTTAGAGAAGACATGAGTGATGAAGATACCTGAGAAGACAATTCGGGGACACTACGCTCTAGGCCAGGTTATCGAGTGGAATCCAAATGGAAAACGATGAGTTGGGCGTCCGAGGCGAGGGTGACGTGTAGGAGATGGTGCGAGGAAGAAATGAAAGCTTGTGGGCAGTCATGGAGCCAGGTTAAAAGGATCACAGAGAACAGAGTGAAATGTGACGTGCTAATGAAGCTCTACGTTCCACTAGGTACCCAAAGGACAAATAATACTAATGCTAATAATAATAATAAACCCTTCATAAGTAAGTGTATATATCAAGGACTTTTTAGGGGTAAAACGCATCTTAGACCACACCTGAAACCTGTGTGATTTTATCAGTATCAGTTGGAACCTAACCATCACTTATTCTGGATGCCAGGTAGCAATTTAAATGAGCTCAACAACGTAGCGTTAATCATGAGATAACTTACGTTTGCATCTGAATATGGGAATGACTGAACACTGAAGCTAAATTAAAGAAAGTATATTTACCCTACGTTGCATCCGAACACACCTCCAGAACACAGATTTACGTAAACTATCTTGCGACCAAGCCCAAGCATTTTCGCAGAAAAGAAATGATCGAATAGGGTTTTCGTCGAATATCCAATTCTCACAGATGTTTAACAAATCTAGTCGCCTTGAATTTATACTGCAAGCATAATCTGGAAAAGCTCTGGTTTTCACTGTACGCTGGGAAGTCTTATCTGTTGTAGCCTTTCAAGCACTCACACAAGAACTCAAACAGTTATCT